GAAAATATATATGCATATATATGTGGAATGTATTATTTATATACATATATAAATATATATATATGTATACATAATATGTGTGTACATATATGTGTGCGATATATGTGTGTACATATATAAATATATATATGTATACACATACATGTATATATATGATAAACGTAGAACACTCACGAAGTAAATTTAAGTGCGATAAATGTGAGAATGACAATTTTAACACGGGAAATCTAACGAAGAGAGATACTAATCGCACGTCAGATAAGCAAGTGAGACAAACAGGAGGGCGAAAGAGAGAGAGAAAAGGAGAAGAAATCATGTCTTTTCATTTTCTTTCTCCCGCTCTCTCTTTTTCTCTCTTTCTTTCTTCCTCTTTTACAAGAGGGACCGTAACACCCGCTTTCCTCACGCTTTAATATTAACGAGACGGTTTGAATTTGACGGTTCGATAGTACTATCCGTAAGATGCGGAGCGCTCGAGAGTTCAGGAAGGAAGGGAGGGAGGGAAGGGAGCGCGACAGAGTTAAAAAGAATAAGTCTTTCTTGATGAGAAAAGAACAAAAAAAGGGAGAGAAGATGAAGGATAAATTATTCGAGCGCGTCTCGCGACTCTGAGAGCTACGGTGCACGAGAGTCGTCCTGTCGTGTTGCTAGGCGATGAAACTAAGATATCGCGAGCAAGTTCCCGCGAAGAAGATACACGAGGTGTCTGGCCACGAAGACACCTAAGTCCATTAAAAAGAAAAAAAAGAGAAAAAGTATAGTAAAGGGGATAACGTACCAAGTATATTTAACCTTTCGCGTGGTCGTAGCGCGTCTCGTCTCACAAGGCGTATTGCCGGATGTAGCACCACGAGTTACGAACGCGCGCCGGGTTAAATCCCAAAGAAATTTNCCCCCCCCCCCCAAAAAAAAAAGAGAACAATCAAAGACTCGGAATTTTTAAAAGTTGAGCTTGCTTATCTTTGGAGAACGAGACACCTCATGTTGGGAGAACGATCGCTGAAACTCGGTCGCTGATTCTGACCTCGACTCGGACTCGTCCGCGCGTCGTAGCTCTGTAACGCGATCCGTCGTCGTAATGCGACGCACTTAAGAATAAATATAAGAATTATACAAGACAAGAAACATTTAAGAGTTTAAGACAAAAAACGTAGCTGATAATAATCGTAGTTTGTAATGAACATGCCGAATGCGCGGTTGGGTCGTCCCGAAGGAGACCGCGGTGGCGACGAGACGAATCGATTTCGCGATTTACTGTCGCGACCGCGACACGTTCGTTCTCCAAATGAGAGAAAGTGAGAGCGCGTATGTATTTCAAAAGGATGTTTTGAGAGTTTCGACGTGTAATCGCGCAGTAACTCTCGCGTCGTGTCTTCACGGCAAGGGTAACGAGAAGGAGAGAGAAGCGAAATCCCCGTGAACGTCCGATAAGGAATGCGAGATCGTGCGATTTCCTCTTCATTTGAGAGGGAGAGAGAGATTTTTCGGCGGACGCGGGACGATAAACCGGGACGACCCATATTATCGGTCAACACTCATTGTGATACTGTAACGTACAAAATGGTTCGTCGCAAAATAAGCTTTGAGGGCAAGCGAGAGATATTTCGTGGGATCTATAAGCGAGAAAATAACAAATATACCTAACGCTACGAATAGAGTTTTCAAGGCGACCTTGTGCGACGAGTTCACAGATGTTTCGCGTTGCGCTCGTCGAAATCGACAAGGCCGATCGTGTGTCCGCATGTCGATGCTTTCTGCAACTTCCCCGGGTGGTATTTTTTTCTATCATACGAATGATGAGATAATGTACGTTCATTCTACGTTGCTCTCATGAAAAGACGGATTTGAATGAGGTTGCCACATTCTAGAAATTATCCGGCACAATATGCGACGAGACAGAAAAGAATCTATTTTCAACTTCTGTTTACATTTACATTTGTCACTGTTGCTCAAATATTTTAACAATGGATGGGACTTTTAATTTCGAAATTTGAACATTTAATGTATGACGTAAACGTACAACTGTAAAATTATTCCGGTAAGAGAGTATAAAGCGTACGGCAACTCGGAATTTATAAGTGAAATTCTACGCGAAGTTCCGCTGAACCATTGAATTGTGATAAATTCATCGGTGAACTCTTCGAATTTTTCGAGAAAGCATCATACAATTATAAATTCCCAGTCTCTGGTCGGAATTTCTGTCTAAAAAGTGTAATACACTGTATGTATTTAAGCGACTTTCCGAATTGAACCTCAATGATACTTTTCGACGAACATAGAATTCAATATTACTTCCAGCGGTCGTAAACTTCAGTAAAGTGTTCTCAAACTGGACGTGCGGGGTCGTAAAAAAAATTTTTAGTTTCGTTTTATTGCGCGGGAAATTTATCTCGTGATACATCATCTGCGGCCATTAAAACGTGCACGGGATATGTGAACAGGTGTGCATGTATGTGTATATTCTACCTTCACGCTTCGAAATTATTATCGTGCATGTTTTTTTTTTCCTTTGATTATATCGTATGTTTTGCTCGTATCCATTGGATACGAATAATATTTAGAAGAAGAGCGTTTCGTTTGCACTTAGCTTAACTTCGCTTATTTCTCGATCGTAGCTAGAAATTCGTTTGCGATTTCACGCAGCTGTCTGTAAATTTTCTGATGGAAGGCACATTGAAGGAACATTTGATAACGGAGAGAGTCCCCTCGAATTTTAACGAACAATCCATCGATGTCGAAAACCTCGACTGTTTTATTTTAATATCGGGCTCCTTCGTGATTTCTCTATGGCAGAACCCGGCAGAAATTGCACACTTTGGCCGATTTTCAACTGGCTCCGCTCAGCGCCATTCTCCTTTATCACCCTGCGCGCAGCCCAAGTGCCGTTCGACACTTAAGAACGTATATTACGGTTCGTGTAATTCGTGTGCATAAATTTCCCATAGATTTCCACGTCACCCAAGAGTACGTTCCAAAACCCAACCTTGGTTACTAAAACTCTACAATTTATGTCACGTATACTATAGATTTTTAAGTAACCTGTAACAATAAGTTGGATTTTGGAACGTCACCCAAGAGGTGCCGTTGTTGAGCCGTTTTTCTTAAATGGTATCCCCAGTAGGCCCGGCCCACCGAAACGATCCTTCGACTAATTGAACGCAGAACGAAATAATAGATGAAATAAAGAACATTCAGTCTCCGACTTATCTTTACCCCGTCTTATGCGACTCGCTAAGTGCAATATGCAGGTCGATGTTCCTGCTCTCGCTTGTAAAAAATCCTGAAAGTCGAACTGAATGTTCTTCGTTTCGTCTATTATTTCATTTTGCGTTCAATCAGTTAGTTAAAAGCTCGTCTCAGTATTCAGTAGATTAGGTCTGCTGGGGATATCATTTAAAAATGTGCCAACAATAGTAGCTCCTGGATGACGCAGAGATTTGCTGAAAATTACGCTCCTGAGTGTCGAGCGGAACAATGAAGTAAGGAGAATGGGGCGGGAAATCGGCCGAAATGTGCAATTTCTGTCGGATTCTGCTCCACAGGACTCGTCCGAGTTGTATCCTAGAAACAAACAGGTTGACTCTCGATAAACGTTCGTGGACGTACAGAAATTCAAGCTACATATATCCTTTTTTTTTTAGCATGTATATAACAATAACACTTTCGCGCAGGAAAGGGTCGATCGAAGGTTTCTTTTAACAGATTTTTATCTATGTTTAGCTGATACGCTTTTTACGAGAAATTTTGAAAACACGTGGGTGAACAATCACAGGGTCGAGACAATACCGTTTGCACCGATGCTTCTCCACGCGATCGGGGACCGTTGCCGATATAATTCCGACGAATTTGGAAACATTTGGACAAAGGAAGAGCACGCGACGATCGATCTTCGTGTGTTTCTTCGCGAACGAACGCGACATCTGAAACGGGAGATTCTTTTTCCCGTCCTCTACGACGTAGGGAACCAAACTCACCGTGATTATATCAGTTTCAATCCTCACACGCAACGGACGAGTCGAGCAATTAATTAATAAGCTACTGAACTCTTGTCACCTGTTTCGCACTGTTAGCAATGATTTAAAAACTATTTTACAAGAGGGAGGGAATATATAGATCATCCATGCAGCAGCACATATTTCCATTTATTATCGTCGTTTGTATATTTTTCTTATTTCATTCGTTTATTTTCTTCTTTTTCCCCCCTTGCTTTTTCGTTACTTTCAAAAGAGTTCTCTCCGTACGCAGAAATTCAAAATCGGCAATAGGGCACGAGGCTTCGTGCGAATTTCGGTCGTCGCTGCGCTGGTTATATAGTTAAGCGCGTAAGCAAAGACATTGAAGCTCATCGCCGCAGAGAGACCCATGTGTTCGAATTATCGTCGAGCTCTCGTGGTCCTGCCACTTGATTTCCCACCTCGAGTTTTTCGTCAATGAGGAGGAGAATTTCGGCGCGCTATCCTCACGAGGGATCCTGAAACATTTCCCCGTTAATATGCGATGCTCGTACACATATGCTCTCGTCTTATCATACCGAGACACTCATCATACAGGGACACAAGACAAACACAGCCACACGAAACACTATGTCGATTAATTAAATAAGCCTTATATTTAGGATTAAGTTGAGGGAAGTTTGACGGAGCGTAATATGAAGGAGAAGAAAGGAAAGAGGAAAGAGAGAGAGAAAAACAGAGGGAGAGAGAAGAAGAGAGTGAGTGAGTGAGTGAATGAGTGAGTGAGAGAGAGAGAGAGAGAGAGAGAGAGAGAGAGATGAAGAGAGTATAATTGTTGTCGAAGCACCCCATGGTCCAATGTTAATGAGAACGAAAAGCGGCGCGTAATATGTCTCCGTAGCGTTGAATTCTACGGCGATAATACATTCCTCCGATTTATCTTTTTTTTTTCTTCCTTCTAGGTTCTTTTTGTCGCGCGTCATCGACGCTAAAATTCGCCGTGCCCCTTTTCGTGTACTTCTCGCCGTCTCGTCCGATATTGATATCTTCTTTTCTTCTTCTTCTTCTTTTTTTTTAATTGAACTTACGAATTAAATTTTAGCATACTAAAATTAAGCGTATTATATTGAAATTCGGGACACGCACTTCGATCTCAATCGTTTCGCGGGATTTTTACCTCGCGAATATGATTTGTCAGGATCGCGCAGGCACGTGGGGCGCCGTGCGTGTGTCTCTGGTGTAATAATAATCCAGAGTCACTGCACAGAGGCAAGCGTGTGTATTATACACGTACGCAGGAGAGATCGCGTCAAGATGGCCGGATCAGCGCGGAACGCGCTGTATGGGACGTCGCTGATTGTCGATTCACGTTTCTAATGTATTCTCGTTTTTAATATACTCGACTCTTATCATCCCGGGCTGTCGAGCTGCTGCCTTCAGGAAACGATCTCTAGATGGTCGTGAACGATCGTACGTTAGAAATCTCGAGAGCCCCCATATTCCGTCGATTGCCGACCGTTCTCCTCTGCGTCTCACGCGCGGCACGCTTGCGACACGATACCGCGCCACGTGGTTACGCTCCTTGCGACTAAAAAAAAAAAACCAGTAAACCGTTAGAGTTACTTCAAGGATCTAGTAGGCAGGTTAAGATTTTCAAAGCATCAAATGCGTTTGCCGGCGGTGGCGGGAGGGAGAAGTTCCGAGGTTCGATTTCGTGCTTCTCTCGCGAAAGCATTTCGCACACATCCTCGACGGACGTGGTGCGCGTTCCCCGTCGACGACAATATTTTTTATTCCTTCTTCCGCCGCCGCGCGAACGCGACGGTGCGACGCGACGGTACGACGAGACCGGGACGGTCTATGCGACTTAGCACTTGCGATTGAGCACGTGAGAGACTTTTGTGTGTGTCTCTCTCTCGCGCACGCACGCGCGCGAGGGGCATGCGAAAAAGATAAACAATAATGAACACGTCCCGCCGTATTCGTGCCGTGGCGATCGCGCCGCCGGCAACATCGAAGGTAACAGAGAAAGGTTTGTTCGCCGCTCTCATCACACGGTGAGAAAAATGTACTGACTATTTTAGCGAATCGAGACCATGTACCTTGATATATATGTAGATTAGCGTGTCTCCGGACGGTGATTGCGTGCGTGTGTGTATGCGTTGCGAGTGAGAATGCGCGTGTGTGCCAAAAACCAGAAGATTGGGAAAGCGTGAAAGAAAGAGAGAGAGAGAGAGAGTGGCTGCGTATGTGTGGCGTGAGCGAGTGAGTAAAAGAGCTTCCTCCTCCAAGGAGGGCACGTTTCGTCTCGTCGACCCGCCATCGCCGATTTTACGTCAGTTGAGCGAGTATTCGTGTTCGTTGAAACGATAATAACAGAACGGTAAAGCGGGACACATATTCGGCTGGGCCGCCGGGAGAACGTGTCGTTACGGATCAAAATTGTTTTCACGCGCGCGCAGAAACTATGTTATAACGCGATGTCGTCGACGAATGACGACATGGGCAAATCATACACACACACACACACACACACACACAACACACACAGACACTCGCGTGGACGCGCGTGAAAACAACTTTCCCATATGATATATAAATAAGCGCGTAAGGTTCTATTTTCCTCTTAATTTCTCGACGAGGGGAATATCCGTGCGTTGAAGACTTGATCGCAGGTGATCACGGAGAGATAAAGAGAGATATCACTGGGCGTGAGCGATGGCATCGCTAAGATTGTTAACGAGGCAGAAAAACGTTATCTGAGACGGCGAACGTGTGTTCAACAGAGATTTTTAACGATTGCGAGATAATCGTATTCTACAGGTAAATCCTTTTACTTTCAGAGATGGCATTGGAAGATAACGGTATCATTCGCGTTAATGACTAATTTCACTTGCCGAAAGTCGTTTAAATGTTTTGACGTTGGAGCTTTGAGAAGAAATTACCGTCAGCTGTATTTATGCGTATTTTATGTATTTTGAATTGAATAAGCGATTCTACTTTCTGTTGAGAATTCGTATTTTATTTTTTCTTTTTTGCGAAAAATTCTACTCCGGTGAGTAACCTTAAGGTTAATTAAAACATCGGGAAGGAATTCGTGAAAAATGTGAGAGGAATTTGTGAATGATGCATATAACGCGCAGTGATTGATTCGCATTCACACCTTGCGTTTAGCATTAAACGCGACGTGTTGCGATATATTCATTTAACGTCTCCACCGAATCACCGATCTCTGCCAGATGCGAGCGAAATGCGCGTTTAATTCTAAAATAAGGTACCGGAGGTGCGAACGCGAATCTTCAGTGTTGAGTTTAACGACACGATCGAAAGTTTGATGGGAACTTCGCGAGAGATGAAGAGATCATTTGATCACTCCTTTAGCGCGCACGAATATTACTCCCTTGTTTTCGAACGAGCAACCGCTGTTTCTTATACACTCGTTTATTACACGTATTCGTTCATTACGTAAGTTTACACTTTACACTCAGCGTAGCCTGTACAGAGCATTGTTTCCTGAAACTCTGGTCTGCTTTAATGGAACAATGATAGAGATACATTATGGCGACCGAAAGAATGATTGCGAAAAAACGACAGAGAGGGAAAGAGAAAGAGAGAGAGAGAGAGAGAGAGAGAGAGAATGTGTGCGTCGACGTACGCGAGTCGTTTCTCTTGAAAGCGGGCGTGAATGCAATTGTGAAGAAGTATGGAATTTTAATGTGAGACGCGGGTACACATCGACACGACGTGTGTGTGTCACTCCTCGAACTATAAACTGGTTACTTTCAAAACGAGCGACTCGTACTTACACTTACGGTACGTGCATGGTCGTATCGGCGAGGATACTTCGTATTTTATTTTCGTCCCTAGTCAATGGTGAGAACAATCCAAGTGCCCCCTGTCGAAGAATCGCGTTATATACTATATATCGGCGCTATATCGATAATACGATCGCATTGGATCGGTGGTATGAATATTATGAGAGAGAAAGCCGAGTGAAATTGAATTACTTCTTTCGTTGATACGACATGTACGTACCGAGATTGCAAGAAAGATAGGCAACGTTTACGTTCCGTTGTCTAGAGAGGTAGAGAGCGAGAGAGAGAGAGAGAGAGAGAGCAAGCGAGAAAGAAAGAATGAGTAATAAGTCTATCGAAGGAATAATAATAGTTGTAAAGATATCGAGTCGCGATCTCTGTGATGATGGTAACGACACTGAGCACGATATGACGACGACGATGTTTTTCCCCCCTTCGTGTCACCCGGGGCGATTTTTCGTCACGGGCCGTCACGACGAGATGCAATTATATAAGACTACGTAAGAGATAGAGAGCCGTAATCTATTATGTAGCGAAACGTAAAAGGAAAAACAAAATGCTAACACTTTAAGTCCGACTGGAGCGTACACATAGACATGTATTATATTGCAATTAAGGACTAACCGTTTACACACACGAGGAGGGAGCATCGGTCGACGATGGTGTGACGATAGTAATATAGATAACGATATATACATCTAAACAATTGTAAATAAACGAAATGAACGCGCGTGGAGAGGGGGGATGGTTACCCCCGGAAATAGAGAGGCAGAGAGAAGGAAGAGACAGAAAGAGAGAGAGAGAGAGAGAGAGAGAGAGAGAAAGAATATTTTGTTATGCGAGGAGAGGAGGAGAGAGAGGAAGAGAGAAAGAGAGAAAGAAAGAAAGAAAGAAAGAAAGAAAGAAGCAGATTTCCGGAGGCAATCGAGTGTGTTTCGCATTGGTGGCCCGTTCGAACGACTCGAAACGACGACTAACGATTGCGAAGATCGCTCCCAGCCTTGCGAAGCCTGAACGCGAGAGCAAACCGCGAAGATGAAAGAGGAAGAGAGAAGAGAGATCCAGGAAAAAGCTGGCGGTGAAAGGCGGCAGCGGCGGCTCGTCGTTACGCGCAAAAACGAGATCTATCGATCGTCTGTCCATCGACGATCCGATTATTGCCTTCGATGAAGAACGGGAATTATCTCCCGAAGGGAGAGATGTTATCTTCGGAGCAAGCGGCTCAACCAACTGGTCGCGAGAGAGATCGATCCTTCAACCGTTTTCACGGGTGACCGGCGGGCGGCGATGACTTTTCAACGCGCATCCCGTTGTTTTCGCCGCGAAACAATCGTCTCGTGCTTGCGCGTCTGACGAGGGCAGCTGGAGGGTCTCCACGGAAGACGAGGAAGAAAGAAGAGTGAAGAAAGAAGAGCGGGGACGGAAGGTTGGGAGACGACGGACTCGCTAACGTCACTCGCTGCTGCGATCTATCGAGAAGCTGCGTGCGAAGGATCGTCGCCATCTTCTTCCACGTTATTTCGTTCACGGCATCCGTGAGTCAAATACACTCGAGCGTGTCGAATAGTACAAGAAAATCGAGACGTTAGAGGAAGGGATGGAAGGACCGAGAAATCGAGGCAGACGGTCGAAGACAAGATCGAGGAAGACCGCGTCAGTTCGGGAGGATAAAGGTAAAATGAGATGGCGGAGGCTTTCCGGAAGCTATTCGCTTTAAACATGCTCGGAGCTGTTGCCGAGGGAGGAAGAGTCGTACCTAAAGGCGCAATTGTTTGCATCGCACTTCGCTTGGCACGTTTATGAGGCCGGTGCGTTTCTCACGAAAGAATTTACAAAGCGAGCGAAAACTTCTAGTATTCAAGAAGTGAGAAGAGAAATAAGAAGAAGAAACAAGAGGAGAAGAAGAGGAGGAGGAAAAAAAAGAAAAGGAAGGGAACGAGAGAGTTTTTTCAGGTGTGAATGATCATCAAGACGCCGAACAGACTCGGAGCACAGAGCGGAGCAGCGAATATATGTACAAAAAAGCTCTCCTGCTCGTCAGCAGAGCGATATCTCGAGTCTGAGCGAGGGGTCGAAGCGAGTGTGAAGATTTCAACAGAAGAAAAACGGACCAGAAAATGTCTTTTTGAATCAAAAAAGGCGCCAAAAAAATTGTAAGTGTCGTGGTGAGACCAGTTGAAAGAGAGAGAAAAAGAGAGCAAGCGTGTGTGAATGCCCACAAGACAAGGAAAAAAAGTGATGCAGGAAGAATTACGAGAAAGAAAAAGAGCTTTTTTGATGGAGAAGAGAGAGAGAGCGAGAGAGATAGGGACAGATAAGAATTTGGCGTGCAATAATATCCGGAAAATCGTTTCCGGCGGGTCATACGTTTGAAGATATAAACGGAGCTTTCCTATTCCTCGGTCAAGTGGAGACGAAGATGCCCAAAGTTTTCCGCGAGAAGCGGAGTTTTTACCGCGAGGAAAACGGTTTTGGGAGCGACCGTAGTGAGATTTACTAGAGCTTCCCGTCCCCGTGTTACTTCCAGAGAGAGTATTTCGGCGCACCACGCGATTGTGTATCTATCACACGGGGACGGAATTTGGTATATTTGGAGGAGTTTATGTGCGAGGCACGTGTAGGATGAAATGCTGCGAGCGTCGGAGGTGCACGCGCATACACTTGGGTCGAGAAAGGGAGGGAGAAGCGGGAGCGGCAAGAAACAAGTACAAGGAAACGCCGGAGACAGGCTCTTCGGGCGATCGAGGAGGTATCCGATCACGAAGACAACAGGAGGAAAAGCCCCCGCGTGAGTGGCGTGACTCGTTTAACGAGTGGCGCTGAAATAAAAAGAAGAAGAAGTGGTGCTGCCACATCGGCAAGAGAACGTATCTTTCAACATCTGTGTTTGTCGAGAAGGAGGAGGAAGAGGAGGAGGAGAAGGAAAAGGAGAAGGAGAACGGAGTCGACGACCTTTCTCCGTTCACATCAGAAGAGGACCACCACGAGGACACCAAGATGGAGCAGAGGAGAAATTTTCAACCATATCCCCATATACTACCTTCTATTCCCTATTTTCCCTTTATTTTACTAAAAATTCGCATCAGTATGAAGAATTTAACGGATCCCAATACACAATAACAGCCTATAGCCACCTTCAAGATATGTAAGAAACTTTTCACGGGAGAATCGCTTTTATTTTTTGTCCCCCTTCCCCTATCACACTTTATATCATATCCCGTTAAACCAGATTCTTCCACATAATCCTTTTTCTGTTAGGGCCCTTCCGGGGGCCCGCAAATGCGTCACGAACGGAGGTGCACCTTCTCGGTATGAGCAATGGTTAAAACGTTTATCATTCTACAAAAAATTCCAAGATCGGAATTTTCAGGGATATTTCAGGAGGATAAATTGTTCTCTCTTAAGGACAAGGAACATGGCGAGAAATCAAGGAGTACAATAAAACTGTCCTTTTCAGGACAAAATTTAAAACTGTCCTTTTAAGGGCAAGGAACACCTGCACAGGCGTCAAGCCGTGCGATAAATTTTTTCACAAGACAGTTTTATGTCCTGTGAGAAAATCGTCGTACCTGAAATATAATAATAAAATATTCTTCTCCTTGTGCTCTATTTTTATTAAATTCTCTCTTTTCAGATTCTGTCTTCATATGTGAGATTACAGAGGTAATGAAAAATTACTTTTTATAATATATAATTTATACAATGTATACACACACACACACACACACACGAAACACATAATATATAAACATGCAGAATGATTAGAAAAATCATATAATTCCATTCGAAGTGGAAAGAAGGCAGATTACAAAGGCAATTTTACAATAAAACAACGTTACGCTAATTATGAGACGTTTCTTTCTGAAACGTAATATAGATATTAAAACATTTCTTTGACTAATTCCGATTCATTTTTTTCAGGGAAGTAATCGTGTAAAAATATTAAAATGGAACATCCTGTATAATTCAGCGATGAAACTTTGGATTATTTTTTTCGCTAAATTTCTTAGTAGCAAGATAACTCCAATATTAAGACGATAGTTAAAAAATAGGTAATGATGTTACAATCCCAAATTGTTATTTATTGTATATATATTATTTTACAATATAAATCCATCTCCATGGATATGAGAATATAAGAATGCAAGGAGCGAATATATTATATGTATATATTTATAATTATACATTTTTTGTAAGAATTTACCTTTTTTAAAGAAAAATAAATGTATATGTTGCTTAAGAATTATACTTGTTTCAGAAACGATCTCTGAGATTCACGGATTTTTTCCAGTTGTAAGATAATCCTTAATTCATGATAAATATGTTATCAAAAATTTTGTTTTCTCATCATTTCTTATCTACTCGAGAGAAAAAACGCACGAATGACGTAGACATTTGACGTTTTGAGTAATTTATTTCAGTAAAAATTGTTACACGTGTTGCGTGCGATATAAAGCATGTGTAGCAACGTCAGCCTATTTAGCAGAAATCATTAAGTAATTACGTCAGTTGAAAACGTTCAAAACAGGTGGCGTGGAAATTTCCATATCTCAATATTCGCTCGAGTACTTCCAATAGCCAATATATCTCTACAACAAATAATAAGTCATTAATTTCCTAAAAATACATGTAATTTTTCATTTAATTCTTTGCGTTGGTACTAGAAATTGCATTTGTCACGCGATTGCGATTACAGTCGATTAACAAGTTCCTCGGTGAATTTCTTTTTAACGTGTCTGTGATGATCATTTGTTTCAAAATATTCAGTCAACACAATACGTATAGTAGTGTATTATTTCCATTTGTCTGATTACTTTGTGTTAGCTGCTACTAACAACAGACTAAAGTATTAAGCGTACAAGTACCGGCGCGAGCAGCCGAGACGTCCAAAATTTTACTTTAGAAATCATATAGCTATTCATGGCGCAACGTTACTGCCAATTCTATTTTTGAGATTCCAGATATTCGCGGCGTAAATATACTTAATACAGGTAAAAATAATATTTCTTTCTCTGTAGGCCGACACGCACGCATGCCGAGGAATCGTTTAAACGAATTGTAAATTCACATCGTGACTATTGTGGCTAAAATTAGAAGAAAGAGGAGGAAGATAAAAGTCTTGTTGATGAGTCATCCGCACTTAGTTATTTTACACGTATGCATACCTCTTGGAATTGACGCACAAGCTACTGATTTTCTGTTTGCGAGTCATTCGGAGTTTTGCATACGTCACGGGTTTACCATTCCTGACGTTGTAGAATTTTACAGATGAGCCTGCTCCATATGCCGCGAATACGTCTCGATTGCCGATCATCCATGCCAATCCTACGATCGTATCGTCGACGGAGATAATTTGATGATTGACGTGCTGTTCACGCGTATCCATGTAACATACACCATTGCATAATCTTAGAAGACAACATTAATATCGACTAACGTAGTATAATAGTTTTCAATCATCGCATAAGTGTCCGTGTGAATCATTGGTATAAATATCGTCATGTACTTCTTTCGAGTGTCCAGTGTCGGAAAACTCGAAAAGAAAAAAACGTTTTGAATTTTAATTTCTGGCCTTGAATAATTAATAATTTATGAGTCAGTCATTTATATCAGCCAGTTAATTATATTCGTTTTTCTTCTTCTCATTAATGTGGGCCCGAACTTGTTACTACGATATTAGCCCAAGTTAGAACGATGTAAGAATATTCACCTCATCAAGATTGTATATACGGATTTCTTTGTCCAAGGCACTGCTGACGAACAAATTACGCAACGGTGAGCACTTGATGCAGGTGACACCGCCTCCGTGTCTTTCGTACTCGTCGATTACGGGATCTATCAGCGAGGCATTTCCTGAAACCGATGGAAATAATGAAGTTTCATTAAACAAGTGGAAAGAGTAGACTAACCATCGCAAAGGAGAACCGATAAATTTCTTTAAGGCGTAAATTTAGCCACGAGAACATTTCTTTCTCGCGTTCAGCACGAACCTTCAATGGGGGTTACACTGTCCAAACTGCACTTGTAGATTCCACCGCATAGCGTCCCGACGATGAATATGCTAGGAAATTGCGGGCAAAAGTCGAAGCTCGTGATCCACAATCCTGCCTCAGCGGCGCGTTCGCGCGTGCCAGTCGCGCTGCGCGGTCTAGCATTTTCCACTGGATTGCGTTCTTTGACTATCTTGAACCTGTGAATGAGATCGAGACCTTGGAATGATTGTACCGGTGATTGTATCAGTTAAATTGAACGGCTAATTATTAACGTACCGTTTAAACAGCTGAGCGGTCATGAAATTAGCCGTCAATCTGTGAATAAGTATATATCCGTCCCTGCTGGAGCTCAACAACAGACTTACGTCGTTCACCGACCTCGGCTTCCAGGACACCTGAGATACACTGTCGCTGTGCGTGCACACATGCATAGGTCTGACCGAGTTCCTGAGATTCCAGACAAATACTTCCCCTACGAGGAGAAAACAAAGATATTGCGTAGAAGGTGTAACGAGGTATGAATGTATATTATCGTTAAACCTCAAATAATAAAATTGATAATAATAATAAGCTTGTAAAGTATGAAATATTTAAGATATTTTACATATTTCGCAATATATTTTATATTTAAGTATTTTCTAACTTATTGTGAGAATAAAAAAAAAGTCGAAAAAATTAATTGGAAAAAACTACAAAATGCTTCTACAGGTCAGTCTGATACACATGAGCTTTGTTGTTCGAGAGGTAATTCTGATATTCTGAACACTTACAATTGGACAGTCCAGCTGCTAAGATTGAAGGTTCTGTTGGGTGGTAACATAATGTTGTAACACATCCAGTAGTTTCTAATGTTTTGGTGGGTGCATAGGTGAAGTTATCTTCTGTCATGAAATTATACAGCTGAATTGTAGAAAGGTGGTCACACCATGCTCCGTGATAAATATGGCTGAGACCAACCGCTAATATTCCACCAACGGTACTCCATGATAAATCACTTACTTTGATCTAAACAATGTTTAATATAATACATATTTTTAATAGTCATATGATTTTTAATTAGAAAAGACATACCTGATCATCTGGCCCCATTGGAAGCTTTATCTTTTTTAATAGCTTTACACTAATAGCAGAAGCTTCTTTAACATTAGGATCATAGTCGTTAAAAGCATTTGTACCATAAGCTTCATCAAGAGCTTCCAGAATTCCCGGTGTGACTCGTTTCAAAAAGACTGCCAATTTGTCATAATCTACCTGTGCATTTGCCTTCTCTTCATTCACTGTTTGAATCTGAAGATATAAATTTAATTAAATCTACAAGAGAAAATGTCGACTTATTGTGTGTGATTATATTAATATACTGAATTTGACTTTAGAATTGTAGAAAAGTAAGCCATAGTTTTGACAATATACCCCGATAGTCCTTGTTCTTGAAGTTTGTGTATCATTAGAAGCATAGAATATTTCTGTGGTCTGAACATTTGCGGTTGTCTCCGACCTAAAGAAATTTTAATCAATTAAAATGACCAATTACATATTTAGTATTTTTTAATAACTTACTTTACGGTAGACAATTCCGAATTGAAGCTCACAACACCGGAGGACTTGGTACGAAACATTTTTTTGACAGTGCGAGTCGTCCTACGTTTCTCTTTTTTTGCTTTATTTTGTTACTTTGACTAAGCATTTATTCATAAACGTATAAAAATAGAAAATTTCCTTTCAGGCTACGCAGTAGTAGTATTTTAGTAGTCACACTGACGCTACCAAGAATATTGTGCATTTACATGATTGCGTACAACAGCTAGTCACGGATAGAACCGCTCTCGCCATCTGTACTTCGTACTGTGCAGTATAATTATGGATCCAGGAGAAGCTTTGCAATGTGAATTTTCTTCGGTAGGTAACATAAATTGCTTAGAAGCAACACATCAATCTACTTATCGCCAGATATGATAACCCAAACGGAATAAATTTTTAAAAGATGTCTTAAAGACGTTCAAAAAAACTTTCTACTTTTTTATATATCTCTCTGACGTCTTTAAGAAGTCTTACACATTTTTTCTACCTGGGTGTTTGCTTTTTATTTTCCAACTGATATAATATTTCGTAGCAGTAAACATGAACCACACGTATAGATTCTGTTATTTCAATTTATTAGCTATTGCATTAACCATAATTATTGTTAGTACTATGGTACTTTTAAAGATAATAATAATAACGTTAATATAATGCAATAAAAAAATATAATATATTAGTGTAATAACATTAAATATTTCACTTAATTCTTATGAAATGTTCTCTTCTTTTAGCAGAGAAAGTGTATTTCATCCTGAGTAACCCACACCCATGATTTCTTCTAATGATGGAAAAGTGCGCTTCTAATCACAAATGCCTGTTCTCGGATTACAGGATGATCCCTCGGCGCAAGGACACAAGATGAAATTCACATCCTTAACTTCCAGTCGCGAATTATCCGGGTAAGTCAAATTAGTAGTAATCGTTTCGGCATTCACTCGGCATTGTTGGCCCGGTTGTTGATACGGCATGCAATGTGGTGTCGCGTATCTGATAGGTCCTAAAAATTCACCAATAACATTGAACATATATTGCCAAAATATTGTAATATAATTAATTGTGGGAAAAAAAGGGACAAACTTACCTAGCAGACAGCATAGATCTTTGGGACATTCCGCGTCTTTTGTGCACATTTGTGTACTTTGAACACACGGAGACATCAATGCTACAGCAGCGATTAGCAGAACACCCAAAATCGGCGACATAGTTATTGCTTGATGAGCTCTGGAAAATGAAAGAAACTGAATTATCGTATATTACGATAGGAGGAGATACGGAAGGAGTTTCTTGATTAAGGAGGTTTGTTCACTAAGTGCCGTATTTTCAGTGGCATCTTCAAGAGGATCTTTCATAAATGTATCATTTATCAAACAAAATTATATTTCTATACATTTATTTCGCTACCCAAGTAATAAATGTTATTTAATAAAGCGAAGCTGAAGTAAATATATATGTATAATATTACGAAAATATTGTTTTTATTTTTCTTATTAATGCTATATTTATGCATCAGTTGAACAGAGATGCACGAATAATAGAAACAAGCACATAAATGTTTAAATATGTGCACATATACATGTATCTCTAATATTACTATAAATTAGAAACTTTCCATTACTGTATATTTTTAAAACGAAACGTTTTCAATCATTCTGAAATTTGTCCATAATATCTGTATATATAGTCTGTAATATTACGACTGTTTTCTAAATTTCTATCTTGTACGCATATATGTCAAATTAGTGAAAATTTGTTGTATTGTGAGATTTCTACATACTTGTACATACAAGTTTACAAATTCAATATTTTGGAAACGATGCAGTAAGGATTATTGAAATTTCTGTTACGCATTGTTGGTCCGATTAACTTTTATATCATGGATATATTACAAGTTTATCTTATATTTGATCAAATCTACTCGCACCTCCTTAAATTAAGAGATAAATTAATGCTTGTTAAAAACGGCGTAGTTTGTTTGCGTCATAACTTGATAACAGTGTGATAACATAATAAATGATTTTAATATAATTAGTCGGTGTTAATATATTTCCTACATTTTTTAAATATATCTATTCTGTTACTGCAGACACCAAAGTTCAGGAAAATAACACAAGTTTACATGAGGAACACAAACACTGTACGAATTCTCTACGTTTTAACAGACCTGCATTGTGATAGTTTTTGGTTTTTGTAAAACATATTAACTATTGCCGGTACCATTTCGGAAATTAGTCTGCAGAAGTGTAATTTTATACAGCGCGTAGGTTGAACTTGCATCGACTGATCTCATTTAGATCTTACTCATCGCATACAAGTGACCGCGAAATTCTGTCCCGTGACATATTTTTTTTTAATATAATATACTGTCATTAACTTTTAATTAAATATCTATCCACGGTTTCTGAATGCGATTATACGAACGAAAACGTCATGGATTAACAAAGTTATTGTTTATATTCCAACAAGAATTACACGTAAGGCATTAAAGTCAACCTAACAATTCCTATTTATACAACATTCAATCTCACATTTTCTAAATATTCATAATTCCAATATCATAAATGAAAAATTAGCCAGTTGTGATAAGTACACAGAATTAGTTGGATCAAACAATTATTTGATTAAACTAAACAACAAACACGCGCCGTGTCTTGTTACAGAAGCACATCTTTGCTGCGGAACTTTTTCTCGAATTTTCATCAAGCAACCGTGATTTTCCGCTACGCGCGCCTTCGTGGTTTTTCGATCGCACTGCTTGCATCATCGCGGATAAAAAAGAATACCGCCCACGAGTCTCCTCGCGAGAGAACAAACACGAACGTTGTTACGAACCTGTTATTTGCGGTCCACACTTGTCGCACACTGCTCGGTATATGATCGCACTAACTGATAGACGCATCGTTTTATACCGCCAGTTTGTTCCGCTCGGATACGTAAGGACGTATCTCCGCGCGTAAAGTCCTTCCTGTCGTTATCGATAGAGCTTTATTTGAAATTTTTTCATTGTATTCTGATTTGCTGATATAAATAAGAATTACGCTGCATAACAGGATATTAAAGATCACTCACAGACGCGATTTTGTTCTTATCGATAATGCACTATTGATAAAATAACGTTCATCTCCTAGATTGTTCGTTAGAAATAAAAAGTACAATGCCCCTGGGGGAAAAATGACAAGAGATAATCGTAAACGGGTGTCACAGATAGTAATAAAATTAATCCATTGTCAAATAAAAGTATCAGTTACAAATAATCTCGTGATCGGTAAAAATTTTTCGGTCCTTTTTCCTCTTTTGCGGGATTAGAAATAGGAAACTCCCGCAATATCTCGAACTTTGATCAATTTTCTAATAAGTTATTAGATATGTGCACACGTTTCGAAATCGATACTTAACCTGTCTATACGGGCGAAACATTTCTGCGTGCATTCTTCCCGCATTTACCCGCATACGTAGATGGTTCTTAACCTTTCTCGGATCGTGCTATTAATTTAAACAATTTTCTTGTTCCAAAAATTCTGAAATGGAGCATTCTCATTGAAAATACGCGTTATTAATATAACGTAAGCGGTAATATGAAATAATTATTATTTACAATAAATTATAAATACATTTAAATAATGAGTTCAGTTTTACCGCGGATATCGCTAATAACATCTCTTTCAAGCTTCTAAATCATGCCATGGCTACAAGTGACGTGTCCATTGAATGTAACCTTTGGTAGCCTGATCGTCGCGGCAAGATAATAAATAATTTTCTCAGCGGCTTCCATATACTATTCTCTATACTCTTCTATATACTCATTCGTAATGTAGACGCTCTTAAGAAACAACAATTAGTTAGACAATTTGAAACCTGTTTAAAATTAGTGGAAAATTATATATCGGCGATTATCGTCGTTACGTCATCAAGGTTTCGGAATTTCCAACGATGCTAATAGTGTTGTCGGTGTCTTGAAAATGCGTTTCTGAGAAGTTTCAATTAGTTAGTTTTTTTTTGTGCACTCTTTGCAGCTAAATTGCACTATCTCTTTATCGTCACATTTTTTTGAAGCAAGTGTAATGGTAACAAATAAACATAGGTAGAAAATTAAATTAAAATATTAATAAATTTAAATTATAAATTTAAATTTAATAATATAAATGTAAATTAAGCAAACTGTAACGTTTGAGGAATGTAAGTTTGTAATTTTAATTTAATCGAGAAAGAGAAAGAGATAAGTGTTAATATTGTTTCTCTTGTTCTGAGTTGTGATACTACTTAATTCGTTGCAACGAAAATACTTATTGAACTGTTAATAAACGTAACAAGATACCTGGCAAACGATTTTTCACTTTCTCTCTTTTACTATACAACTTATCGTGAGACTAATATGGGCCTTATAGTAATATTGTCTATTTCTGGTATACTATACCTGCGGGTGGTGATAATTATTCAAGTAAGAGTCATAAGAGAGGTTCGTGTGCAAAACACGTGTCTGACGTTGCAAAACGTTTATGCACATTTTAGTTTGAGATATTATGTAATTATGCGATAATGCATAGTTATTTATAGGATTATCAAAGTTATAGACTAAACGTAGTCACATACAAAGTGCATGAACTCACACATTTATACGAATTTGAATCATATATTATTATTATATTGTTAATTGAAAACGATATGATCAAAATCATTATGTAATTATATATCCTATTTAAAATAGATCGGTCTTTTTGACCTTAATTTTTAAAATTAAAATCTATGTATTTAACAAAAATTTTTATTGTATTACCATAGATAATAGTCACAGATTTTTTAATTGTAATTTTTAAAAGATTCAATGAGAGAATCTTGTTGTTATTTTTTTTTTATTAATCATAGGAGCACGTGTTATCGATATGTAGTCTGTAACAATCTTTCAATATTCTTGGCTAGATGTCGACATCGTAAGCGCGGTGCTGCTCTTCGTTACATGTGTAGCAGCGATAACTGGAAATAACCTCGTATGCGAAGTGCGAGTCAACGCATCCGTTCGGTATTATGCGGTCGCCGGGTTATAACTATTTATAAAACCAGCTCCGACGATGTATGCCCTTTGAAATGGTAGAGCAAACATTACTAACGACTAATCGGACATGTTTCACCATCGTGTTTTCCGGAACTGATCGAGATCTTAGTAACGTCTTCTCTGCAATGGAACTGTTTCTTTCTTCGTGAGGATTCAAACCGCCAAAACACATCGTAAATTATGGCAAGTTTAACCAAATAATTACGCACTTCTGTATAGGAATAGTGTTTGTGTGCAAACCGCGTTCCAGATATGACAGTATATTTTTTCAACATATATTCTTCGTCATATTCATCTAACGAGAAAATTATGTATGTCTATAAGAATAATGCTTATGTGGAAATATATTTTCTCTAGAGATGTAAGCATGTTTTTTCTTAAATATTATGTTATGTTTCATAAGTGATTTTTTTTTCAGGCTCTACTTGGAGCACAATTGGTAATTACCCTTATAATGGTCAGTACCATTCAGAAGTTAAGTCCACATTTTTCCTTCGCAAGATGGATCTTGTGTTCCACTGGGTATGTAGTACAGTACAAATATATGAGAAACAAATAATGAGAAAAATGAATAGTAAAGAAGATGATGAATTTTGTATTTTACCTATACAGATTGACACGATATCTGTATCCGACAGATCAGCATCTTAGGGCTTTAGCTGGTGTACCAAAAGAGAAACCAAAGAAAGGGAAGCATAGTGAGAATGGCAAAGTGGGAGATGTATTTCACGTCCCTAGAAATCTAGATATTAAGCTCGAAAGTGCAAAAGTAACCAAGTACGATATAGTACACTTGAAATATTACACAGAATATCAATGGCTACTGGATTTTTCTATATACGCTACTATTGTTTACGTACTAACTGAGGTTGGTGTTCTTTAATAATATTAAAATGTCTCATCAATCAGTAAATTTATCTATATGACTATAAAGACGTTTTTTGCTTAAGTACAATTTGTTGACCAATATAGTATCTATAGCTGACTGTATCTCACACGCTCTATTTAAACTTTTTCTCCTTGTTTAACAGGTGTACAACTATTTTTATCCAATCAAAGATGAGATTAATCTCAGCGTACTATGGTGTTCATTGGTTCTGGGCTTCGCATTGTATCCTTCAGATTAAGATCTCTATTTTGGCTTCTTAGTTTCTGAAAAGGAATTAGAAGTTTATTATAGTGCGGTGCTTTATTCTCCTTACACAATTTTTAGTAAAGTACTGCTTTCTCTTTGGGTACAATATTTCAAGGGTGAAGAAAGTGTAGGTGAAAGATCTACATGTATTGTCACTGGATTTGCGTATCTTCTCATTGCTATGATGGTTCTCATAGTCGATGAAGATAAATTAGAAATTGGGTTGGAAAAGGCATATACAAGTTTCAATCATAGCGCTTCTTTGTTTTTAGATAATCAAGGACTTTCATCAACGTAAGTCAATCATGCTCGGTATTAAACGATGGTTTTCTTGGATTTATTGTATACTTTGGTTATTTATTTAATATACAGGTTGTTTCTAAGGAAAACTTATTGCAATATCAGATTTATTTTTAATTTACGTTTTAATTAATTTCTAATTAATAATAAATTTTTCCACATAAAAATTATCATATATGTTATTAACAACGTATATTGTGTACTTTGTTATACAATAGTTTATAATGATATTATATTTATTATGATATTTATGATATTATATATATTATATAATATCATAAATATCATAATAAATATGATATTTATGATATTATATTTATATGATATTTGATATGATATTTATGATATTATATTTATTATGATATTTATGATATTATATATATTTGTTTTGTTTTGCTATAATAATATAAATAATATAAATATATATTATAAATGATATAAATAATATAAATTATAAATATTTTATATTTTATTTATAGGGGGCCAGCTTCCAAAATTGTTGTAAAATTCTTCCTTGCTATATGGTGTGGCCTATTAGGATCTTTATTTACTTTCCCAGGATTGAGAGTATCTAAAATGCATTGGGATACGCTGAAGTATAATTAACTTAATTAATTTAATTTTATATTAATGTTAACCCTTTGCACTCGAGGGCTCCGGAGCGGAGTCATTTAAAATTTGTCTTCAAACTCGAGGGCTCCGCTATGACAATGCAAATAACTTTCAGTTCATAACATAAGGACAAAGACAAATCGTAAAAACTATTGTGTATAGGATATTCTGCTCTTGCTATTTGCATTTGAGTTTGAAAAGTTTGAAGACAAATTTTAAATGGCTCCGCTCCGGAGTCCTCGAGTGCAAAGGGTTAAACACTCTGAACAATTATTTATTGTATATGAAAATTATTGCAGGTATCATAAAGATAGCAAGTTGTTGTTGCTGGTAGCAAATATCAGTTATGCTTCACCTTTTCTGCTAGTGAGTCTGTGGATTACACCAATAAGTAGGGATTACTTAACTGTTCGAATATTTAGCGGCATGACTGCCCCATTGTAAGTCGATGTTGAGTTCTCCAAATTGTGTTATGTGCACAAATAGGAAGAATACAAGAATGCACAACAGGAAGAAACATAGAAAAAGATTTAAAATATTTCTGTTACAGAATGACAGCTGCAACGTTTGAGAGCATGAGATTAGTTGCTGTTGTCGTCACTGTTTTATTAAAGATTGTACTCATGCCAATATATCTGCAATCCCACTTAAATCTGGCCATCCAAAGATTAGAAATTCAGAAAAAGGAGGCTGGTAGAATAACTAATGTCGATCTGCAGAAAAAGGTTCGTATATAAAAATCTATATTATTAAAATATTATAATTATATATAATTAAACATTTTTTATTTATTTATTTATATAAGTACTTAACAACAAATCGAATTACGTTTGTGTGTTACAGATTGCGGCTGTATATTACTATCTCTGCGTAGTAGCGCTACAATTTGTTGTTCCAATAATTATATGTTTATTTTTCACATTTTTGTATAAAACGCTTGGTGAGAAAACATTTCTAGTTACATTCAAGAGTAATCAGCAATGTTATATTTAAATTTACATGTATTTTTTGTGTATTAGGTGGATTTACCTGGGAAGGCATTTTGAAAGGAACGCTGGAGGAGGAATGTCCGGCGGACGAATTGCCGAAGTCTGTATCGTCTATAATTAACAATGATAATACTGATAAGACTGTCGTACAAACTGCTGAAGAACTTCAACTGGCATTAAGTTCATTAAAGCAGGTAATATACTTTAAAGAGGTCGTAAGACTCATTGATGCATCACAATTTATACACATATAAAAGTATCAATTTTAATTGTAAATATTTTAGTTTTCGAATGGTCAATCTTCTTCTAATTGTATAACAGTACAAACAGTTAGATGATATTTCAATGATACAAGATTCGTTGAATTCCTATCCAGCTTACTTCACCTTACAACCACCATAATATGTTTACATACAAAATATCGTTATGCTAGTTGTCATAATCTAAGAAACGCTATTAGTAATTTTTTTATATATCACAAGGCAATATGTTTATTTACAGATATTTACCACAGACGTTTACAGAGGCGTTCTAGGATTAGCAACATGGTGGAGTTGCTTTGCGCTGTTTGCCACTACCGCGATGGGCATGTTTTACCAGTCGTATTTTTCAAACGTATGAAAGGGTCCGGGGACTGGAGGGACATTCAGACGCACAAACCTTCATTAAATCATCACGTCGCACAAATCTTCATTAAATCATCAGCCATTCGTTATTAAAGACATAGCATTGTCCATCCGAAATATGTATTTTCAGATTACCCATTTTAACGTATGCCTATCGCCAAACGACTAAAACTATCATCGATAATATGAAATTTTGTAATGCATATGGCAATACGAAGAATGATACCGCAGTTGTATTATAAATAAAAACATCCTGGAAAGCTTTTAAATCAGAATGTCACTCATGTCGATAGACGTGTGATTAATACAGCATTTTAATGCATTCTTTGTACAATATATGTGAGTGAAGGAGAATTAAGTTATTTATATTTACAATCTTTCGCTATTTCATATTTCTCTCTAATATACGGATTTCCAATACTTGAGAGGTGTATCGACGTGTGTGTTGTGCATGATATTACAGTGCCGTACATTCATTACACATGTATTCTTATGTAATTACGTAGAGATTAGAGAACAAGTCTTGATAATAATATTTTACATATACGACGCATTCGCGTGCCGAAGGCGCGAGGCGAACGTACGCGCACAAAAAGGATCGATTGCGCTCGTAATACGAACTATCTCTGTACGATGCTAGTTGGCGAGCTGCGTGTGGCAGAAATAAAGCTTGACATCATTATTGCTGACCGGCTGGACACTTTAATATTCCACGATCGTTCGTCCGATCGCAATTAATGCTTTCCGTGTAGCGCTTTGAAAGCAACTTTCTCCGTTATCAGTGATCTTGGCAGAGGCCATTTCACAGTCGAGCCCGCAATTCCCGTCTTCACTTGTGTGAAAACGTAACGGATCGTTATTATTACGCAAGAAACGACGACGTATGTTATCGTTTATCGGCCGTATTTTGGGAGAGAAGCTGTCAGACCCGGTTGGATATCACCCGATGCTTGAATTATTCGACAGTGGCATTCCGGAGAAAGTGTCCGCTAAAATGATGCCTATCGGATGCGGCTCACGTTTCGAAGCGACTGCTTCCGTAGTATATAGCTCCCCACAGGTTTCCTTGGCACCGTAATACCGCTGTGATTTTCGTCGGCGATAATACTGCGCTTCTGCTTATCACGCTGCGAGATTACTCGTGCGATTTTCCACGATGTTGGTGAGTGAACGACGGATTGTGACGCGGTGCTTTTAAATTTAAACCCAGACAATATAGATAAAATGTATTATGTCCCGATTTTAAACTTTATGTCGTCCGGGAATATTAACTTTTACGTCTTATAATTCTTACATTTCTTTGATACTTCCATAATAATGGCACGGATATCTTATCAAATATCACAAATATTTTATCGATTTTTTCGATAGCGCTGTTATGATTAGGCTGATTGTGATATTGGAATAAATATAGGCGCGATCTTTTGTCAGCGGAATAATTGATAATCGGAATTAAATGTAATGATGTGTATCACATGAATGATTATTTTACACGATATCATAATTCGCTATTATATTCACTGTTCAGCGGAAATATTTAAGTTGCCTCCGCTGATTGTCACATGTCACAATTTGCAGAAACACGCGATCGTCCTCGGTGCGTTGTGCTCCGTCATCGTGGCGGAACCACCGGTTCAAACGGTCCAAAAGCCAGCAAACGTACTAAGCAATCCGGAACCACATACTTCCTACAGTTTTATCAGACCGGGTTTAACGCAAACGTCGTTTGCTTTCGGCGGACCGAGTTCTCATCAGTCATTTTCCTCCAGCATCGGCAACCCACAATTAGCGCAAAGGGTTCTACCGAGTTTGGCGCAGATCCTTGCTTATAGAAATCCCAGCTTAGGTTTGTATATTTATAGAACAGTATTAAATTTTTATCTTTTCTTGAAGTAGTGAAAAATAAAAAAGGATTTAATTAAAATAATTAATTATTTATCATTAAAGTTATTAATTTGAAATAATTAAATTAATTAAAATAATCAATAAAAATAGTGAATTGGTTTTATATAGATAAATTAATTTCTTACTGGGCAATTTATTTTATACGGAAAAAAATGTATATTTGCGACGATTGAAGGAAAGTTTGAAACTTTCAGGATACTATCCGGTCGCTTCTGCCGCAAATGGCTATGGAGTCGGTCAGGCGTTTGCAACGACACCGACAAATGGGCCGTTAACTTATCAGGCCACTGTGGATCCCGCGACCGCGTTGGCTTACGCGCAACAATTGCAGCAACAGCAAGCTTATTTGCACGGGTATCAACCGAATGCTGCTTATCAGCCGCAATTAACGCAACTGCTCGCGCTCAGACAAGCACAAGCCCAACAAGAGCAGCTGCAGACAATTGACTCGCAGCAGGTGAGTTTCTTTCGTGTTATGTTCGACAGGTGTGAAAAAAAGAAATCCAAGTGACCATATTATGCGATGTAACAGTGATAATGTTAACGTAGTATTGTCAAATTATTTTGTACAAGAAGCAGTCTAGGTGTGATCGCATTTTAAGTGTGATTTTTTGTTAATAGTAACTGTATATAGGTACCACAGCAGGATAATCAGTTGCAGCAGCAGGAACTCGAACGGCCGTCGCAGAATTTGCTGGGTGTTGCTTATTCATCTGCGCCGTCGGTAGCGCATGTAAAGGTCTCTGGGAATGGCTACAAGTTCGATTTTTAATTCTAAATATATAATTCTAAATATCCTATATGTTATTGTAGTGTATATAATTCTTGCTGTTACATATATATTAGAAAAGATAATTTTTATTTATGTAATTTTTATATAAAATATGTACAATACATGCAGATATAACATATACAAAATATTTATTTATACGCTTATTTATTATGGGAAATATAAATAAATAATGTAAACGCAATGATTTCTCGGTGTCTTTATTTCGTATCAATAAAGATAATCAGCGCGCTGTCATATATATATATATCTTGTAGATCTATAAAATTTTTTCTTTATAGTTAATTTCATTCACAAGTCCCTGATAATTCTGATTAGTGAGTGTTATTGTTTAGATGGTAGCTTTAAAAAAAAAGTTGTAAGTTATTAACTCGGAATGTAAAAAAAGGCAATCCTCTGAGGCCCCGGGGGGATTCGAACCCCCGATCTCCTGTTTACTAGACAGGCGCTTTAACCAACTAAGCCACGGCGCCTTCGCGCTTCTTTTCCGATTAGTTATTACATCAAGAAGATTTATATATTAATAGGATAATTGTTTATTTCTTATACATATATTTGTGTTATATTAATATAAGATTTATATATTAATAGATAATTGTTTATTTCTTATACATATATTTGTGTTATATTAATAATATTTTAGTGATTTATGCTGACATTATTATAATTGATAATGTATACAAATATTTATTAAATAAATATTTAAGAAAATATATATATTCTAATATTATAGATATTTTATATAATATTACTAATATATTAATAAATACAAAAATATAAACTTGAAATTGTATTCTCAGCCTTAAATCTTTCCAAGTTGCATATTATATATGAATATTACACCCCATTGAAAAAAATACACGTAAATGCACAAGTTTAATTACATATAATTTTAAAATACAAGACAATTATTTAGTTTTAAACACATGTTAGCGATAATAAGGAGCAAAAAAAGGAGGAAAAACTCCTCGACGGGGAATTGAACCCCGGTCTCCCGCGTGACAGGCGGGGATACTAGCCACTATACTATCGAGGAGAAGTTGGTGTTGCCCTTCAAGATTGTGAGACACGTAGGGTCACAGTGAATATTCGTGAAAGTTATCACAAGTAATTTTTAGAATTCATACGTTAACGCGGATCGAAAATATAAACAATTTTCAAGAGACGTACCTTTCATTCGCGTAACACAAAAAATAACCACGAGACATTCCTAAGTCATAGCAAAAAATATAGCGAAGGGTGAAAAAAAAAAACCACAAAGTTCCGCAGCCGGTAGGACTCGAACCTACGCTCCCAGAGGGAATCTGATTTCTAGTCAGACGCCTTAACCACTCGGCCACGACTGCCACTTGTTCTGGCATACGTATAATATCGGGAACACTTTACAATAAGGCTGCATTTTATTTTATTAAAAAAATATTTCGATTGCAACTCTATACAAGACATTAAACGTAATTGGTAGTTTAACATCGACTATACTTTCAAGTCGAGAGCGATTAGCTAACTGGCTGATATTATTATCTCATATGTAAGGGCTTTTAGGGCGCGCTTCGCGTCCCCGGACGCCGCTGTTACAAAAGCAACAAAAATGGCGTTCACGTGTGTTGTTCAAAAATAGCGAAAAGGGCGACAAAAAGAGAGGTATGACCCCGACGTGATTTGAACACGCAACCTTCTGATCTGGAGTCAGACGCGCTACCGTTGCGCCACGGAGTCTTCGTGCTAATTCCTCTCTGAGTGAGGAATACTTCGAATGGGTCTACGCGTGGACGAGCATATATCTTACGGTAAGTCGTGCGGCGCACTTTACCTCAAAAACGTGGACTGTAATCAAGGAAGCGAAGTACTACCATATCAAGAGGTCGATGGAAAATTTTTGGAAGTAAAGGATTTCAAGACAAACCGGGGTATAATTTTCTTGCGTGGGGGTAAATCCGATATAATAATCTTTAAGCCCGTGTGAGACCACGGATTGGGGATTGAGATTAAATTAAATTCGGCCAATCGGTACAAAGTTAACTGAACTCGAGTTTAGTGGAATTTAATGAACTTTGCAGCAATTGGCCAAACTTCGATTCGATCTCAATCTTCAATCCGTAAGTCTGATACGGGCTTTACAATATAATATCACGGACGAAATCACTCTTCACTGTTACGCTATTTCAACTTGTTTACGACAAAACGAATATTTATTAATTTTATTTGCTCATCCTCGAGAAACAATTTATATTGCCTCGAACGCGACGTTCTCATTTCAATGTAACGCACACATACGCACACTTATTACTCTTCGTCGGATGAATCAAGACGAAAATCACGCCAGCCAATCACAGTTTAGGATGCTCAAAAACGCAGCTCGCGATTGGCCGGCTCGCGGGCTACTCAAGTTTCAACGCTCATGTTTTTCGTATTCATGGCCAGACGGGCGCTCGGCTCCCGCGGAAGCCGGCGTCGCAGTCTCCGGCTGGATCGTCCGTAAGGAGAGTCGAGTTCTCGCGGATACGCCGGCGAATGCCACGAATCGTCGTCGGCGGCGGTGGCGGTGGCGGCGGTGGCCGCCGTCGATCGTCCGTCGGCCGTCACCCCAATGTGCTCGGTGACGAGCACGTGGTGCGTGCTCACATCCCGCATGCGAGCACCATCGTATCCGGACGACAGGAGGCGGCAGGAGCTCGCCGGAGGCGGCCACTCTCCCTACGTTGAACAGAGTTTCGCGCGGGTTGTCTCGCCGAGCCCCTCCTCGCGCCAGGAAATCATGCGCCGCAAGGAGGCCGCCGTCGCCGGCTCCGCCGGTTATTGCGATACCCCGTCATACCTTGACTTTCGCCCGTGAGGAATTTTTTCAACAGGAACGCATGCGGCCGCCTGTAATTTCGTGACGCCACCGATAGAAGCGCTAGTGTCAACAAGCCCGCCACGCACTGGTCATCTATAGGGTGGCTCGCGGAGTCGCGGGAGAACGCGGGCTCTTCCCTGCGATAAGATATCGGCCGAACTCGTGAACAGGAAGACGAAATAGGAGGGACGCTTGGGTGAAGACGGGCGACTGCGAGACGCAGCCTCTGTTCTTCGGTATTTATTCGTCAAGACGCGAAAACAGCAACATGACTTTACAGAATCGTGCGCTTTTTTTGCGCAACCGTTTGATAATAAATTACATAAATTTTATATGTAGTAAAAAAGAGATGTACAGACTAAAAATAACATTGCGAGACACGGCAGACGGAGTTTAAAACTTTGATGCTTAAAGCGGAGTCCGCAATAAGAATGTAAGCTCCAAGCTTTAAGAAATTGACCGATCCCAGTCGAATGCGAGGGGAATAATCGACTGTGATCAACCAATTTCTCAAGGCTCGGCGCTTAAATTCTCATTATAAACCCCGCTTTACGAACGCACAATCGAGAATCAAGATCCCCCGATAATATCCCAACTCGCACGCACGTGCGATCAAACGTCGACACGTCGACGTATTCCATTCGTCGTTCGCCAGATCGACCATCGTTCCATTTTCCTTCATCGCAGGTCTCACGTCTAATGTCAATGAGACGTCACCTCTCGCTCGAGACGCGCGAGTCACCCTGTATATCTGCATACACACACACACGCGCGCACGCCTGTAACATACACACACCCGTTCCCTCGCGGGATGGCTGAGAGATCCCCCACTCCGGCGTCTGAAATTTTAGGGGAAAACGTAACCGTTCGATCCGTTTCGTCGCGGGACGCGCGAGCACGACAAGAGCAGTTCGATTAAACTCAAATCTCGAGCGGGACGCGGAAACACGGTCCGAGTCGACGTTTAACGAGTCGCACTGGCCGGCAGCGCGCGCACGGACGCGAGAGAGAAAGAGAGAGATTGCGGTATTATTAATGCCGGTTTTGGGGAAAAACGGTGTCACTGTCCTCCCGTGGTGGTGGGCTTCCGTCGTTCCGCCGAGAGTGCCCGGCGAGAGAGCGGTAGTTCGGCGGATCGCGCTGTTGCGCGCGAATCCGCAAGCCGGCGGCGCGAGCCCGGGCGAGAACCGCGCGCGCCGGCCGGGCCCTGCCGAAATTTCCGTCCACGCCGGAGTTAATGAACCAATAAGCAGTGGAAAGAGATCGCCGTGGACCAATGGGGTATGGCGAGCGGCGACGGTGCTTAGGGCCCGCGCGGCTCTTCCTCAAAATTGTGTCTTTCCGATCCACGGCGAACAGCCGATGGCGGGAGGTGTCGCGCGACGGCGACCATCGCCGCCGCTCGCCAGCTGGCCGCTGCTGCACTCCTGCTCGCCAGTCGGTTAAATTGTTGATTATGTCCATTCTGCCCGTTGACTGCAGATTAGCGCGCGGCAGCGTGTAAATTAGCGGCGACGAGAACGAGCGGGGCAACGACGACGGTAGGGTAGGCAGGTAGGTAGATAGGGAACGACGACGACGCGTTCTCGGCGCCGTCCTTCGCGCCGCGAGCGAACCTCTCCCTCGTGGAGATTCGACCGAGTACCGGGTTTCACGGCCACCTCACCGTTTCGGCGCCACGACCTCGCGCATGTTCCGAGACCGCCATGTGCCTGTCGACGTGCGTTGCGTAAGGAAACCGGCTCAGGGACGTGTCGCCGACCGAAAGATTGCCCGCTATTTTTTTCGTTTCTTTTTTCACGCACCTCGGAACGCAACCGAGAGTGGTTCAATGAGAGGAAGCTTGTTCGGGAGAGATCGAGAGAGATAAGCTTCCTCATCGAGCCGCACAGGTCAGTTTTCACGAACTCTGGTTAACCTAACCTAACCGACTGACCGCCAGTTTCACAACCTCCGGTTAAATATAATTAAATATCAACCGTGATTGTTACTTCTTGCCGGTTCCGCTTGACGACAAACTGCGACTGGTCGATCTTAATGGTATAATCGGCCGATTTATTTAAACAGAGACTGTAAAATCGACCCTGAACTCTCTCTAAGGGACCCGTGATCTTCGAGCGGGCCGCGCGTCTCCGGGCGTAACGCGAGCGGACGCGCTGGCATCATGTGCGCTGTCGTAATCTCGATGAAAGAATGGCCCGTAAGTCCGGATGTACAATAAGTGTATTACGAGCCTTTTGCCCCAGGCATTATATTGTAACGTAATTTTTAATGAGCAGCGTTTCCAGCGCTGTCACTGCAAGCATCGCAATTTCTAAGTTTCCAGCTTTGCAACTTTCGGCAGCGCGGCAAACGAGTCTTCCGTTGGGAAATTTCATTGTGTTTTATTGCTTAGAACGTTTCAAGCTAAGGGCTTTACTACATCTATGTCAATCGCTCGCTTTTACCTCGATGTCGTTACCGTCAAACGTAATTACGTTCGTTCGCGGCACATCCGTTCAAATCGCGTATCACATCGGCCGAGAGAGAGAGAAGATCGCAGAGGCCGGCCGTGTCTCTGTATACGTTTCCATTATCGATCGACATGCGCCGTGTCGTTATCTCGCTCGCGCGGCACACATGCAATCCTGTTGAACGGAAACCGTTCCGGACGAAAGTACGTGCCGTAGGTAATACAAGAACCGGCGGCTGGCGAGCTCCTCGCGCCGCGTGCTCGCCTAGTATAAGGAGGGGCTAAATGAGACAACCCGCGCGAATGACTCTCAACTGTACGAGAGAGGAGAAAGGGCGCCGCTCATGCTGCCCTGGTGGTGCACAGACTGTGTGCGGGATGTGAGCACGCACCGTGCTTTATTGCGAAGGGAACCGGCCGCCGTTGGTATGTGACGACCACGTCCTCACCTGCTTTTCCCGCCTTGCCCGCCAGCTCGCGTGCGTAGAACAAAGGACGGTAAGACGAGACGACCTTCAGGTTAGTCGCGATTTTTCCTCATTTTCGTAGTGACTTAAAACTAACGGTCGGTTTGTTCTTTCTAAACAGCCCGAAAGCCTAGTTTGTCATATATATAGGAAGTGGAAAATTTTTTAATAAATTAGAACCTCGTTTAATTTAAGTCTTTTGAGAACACGTCAATTTCGTCATTTTACCTGTGTGGATAAGGTGACGAAGGTTGAGAATAGATATTTTCATGCATACAGGAAATGGATTGTCACAAACTTTTTGTATTATTTTGTTGTTATTGTGCGTTTGTACAACGCAATAAAGTGCAGGTAAATGTATTATTTATAAGCAAAAATTATGACTCGTGACGATGTGACTTAAAGAAAATGAAGTCTAAACAAAGACAAAAATAAAGACAGTTATTTGTAATAATATAATTTAAAATAAAATATGTATGAATGTGTCATCTTTCCCGCGCATAATATTCATACATGATATATCATCTTACCCCCTGGTCACTATATTTATTTATCCAATTAAAAAAATATCGCAACATAAGACATTAAAAAATAATAATTCCTTATTATACATGTTTTTAGATATACTATATAGTAATTGTGTAGAAAAAGTGCAAATATTTACTATAACTGTATAATTTCTATAAGTTTTAACAGCGAATTAATCGAAATACGATCTACACATATGTAAAATTATAGAAAGATTAGTTTCAAAATTGAGAAAGATACTATAGTCAAAACTGTATACCGTAAGTCATGTTTATAAACATTTAGCATAGACCTGTCGAGTTTCTTCATGTTGTATTGACTTTTCTAATATTGTTACTTTTCTAAAATTGTCGTGGATCAACTACTTCAAAAATTGCAACACTTTTTACGGTCAATTTTGCATTCCGCGTATTCTCAATATTCTCAAATTTTTTTTCTTAATAATTCTTCAGACACATATTTTTCTGCCGGATACTGGATGCGTTGCGAAATTCATCGAAAGAAAAGTGTTGCGACCTTTTTGTAACTGACCATGCGCGTGAGCGCCGGGGAATAATGGGCGATACATCTCGCCCGAAGGTCGACAACGTGTTCCCGCCAAGCTGGTCGTTTAGAAACGGATGTGCGTCAGCAAACTGACTCGACCTGGTTTTCCGAGCCGCGCGACGGATTTGCGGCACGATAAATTTGCAGTCGCAACTGGAGCAACGAGAAGCGCACGAGGCTCGGAGATTCGGGTAACCGAAGATTTAAGTAGCCGGATTTATTACATACCTCGCCGCTGCATTGTCGCTTCGTCCCATTCGGAATATTTGGAATCGCGACGCGAGAGCTCGCGCGCGTTGCGACGTTGAACCGCGTTGGCGATTTGGAAAGAAGAGAAAAATATTTTAAAAAATGAACGACGACGAGAGCCGCCGGCACAGTGGAGCGAAAGCGGAAAAATTTGATTTTATAGCATTAAAGAAAGATAAATATATACATTTGAAGGGGAATATTTGTGTGTGTGTCCATATAATTTATTATTTTTACTTATTTGGGATTTTTTATCCAGCAATTAACGAATAATATAATTTTTCCCGCAATCTGCATGAACGGCACCACACCACCGCTTTCGTGCGCGGTGGAATGGGTGCGCTCCGTGATTTATCTCGCGTGACAAAAGTTACGGCCTGTTGACCCCGACGTGACTTGAACACGCAACCTTCTGATCTGGAGTCAGACGCGCTACCGTTGCGCCACGGAGTCGTGTTATATCGATGTTGTTAGATCGATAATAAGTAGTACCTCCGTGCGAAAGATAATGCGATCTCGCGCGTTTCCGCGCGATAGCGATCAAAATTTAATTACCGTGCAGCGAGGAGGGCCGTAATTACGCATTTATTAAAACGCCCAGTTCGTTGTCGAGAGAGAACAGAGAAAAGGAGCCGCTAAGATTGTGATCGAATAGTTTAATGTCTGTACATTGAAAAAAGGATTTAGTAATGAGTATTAAAATTTGAATGAATATCCGCCGACTAAATATGTGATTACTGCAGCCAAGTGATTTAGTCCCGTGCATATATAATATGGTACGTAGTTCCGTATATTTAATATTTTTGTTTTCTATATTTAATATGCGAAATTAAATTATTTGATCGCAACAGTCAAATGTTTCGGCCGATGAATATTCATCAAATTTTGGTATTTATCAATCAATCTTTTTTTCAATGTAGATGCGCGACGACGAGTTATTATACGAATGTTATCATCTGTTACTATAATTTATACATAACACAAAAATATTGATACATATTAAAAGTATACACATTATAATTATATTAAAATTAATCATATTAAAATTATTCATATTAAATTATATTAAAATTAATATTATATTAAAAATAATATTATATTAAAATTAATCATATTAAAATTAAATACAAGTATGAAGAAGACAATAAGAAATATGAATACAAACAACATTTATCGCTTTAAACGTTCCGCTCCTCCTTTTAGCAATACTTTCATTCATCACCGTGTGATTTAAAGTTCGCGCGCGTGCGTATGGCGCTAATTATGTTACTAATGATGCAGTGACATTGCGATAGTGACAATTCGCGTTTGTTTATGAAACAAATGCGCGCGACGTCGCGCGACCGATGCATTTGCGCGCACGCAACTTGACAACTCGCCGATTTCTCTCGACGCGGCGAGCCGCGCGTCGATTGGGCGTGGTCGGTGGTAGCATCTTTTGAATGAAACCTCTATCAGGATACCACGTCGCTCCGGAGCACACTTCCGTTCTCCTTTTTCCGATGTTATGATTGTTATTATAACGGCCGTTCCGTTCTCCCCTTCGCCGTTTCATAAGCGTTCAATAACGAGTCCTTTCTACCGAAACGGGCAGGAATGGCGAGCCCCCGACGACAACAACGTCAACAGGATCCCATCTGCTCGCAGGAGCATAGGGACTCCGCAAGCAAGCTTCTACAAGGAGCACACACACACACATACACACATAAACATACACACATTATTTCGCACCATATCCCATCGAACCGGAATTCTACCTTGAAGATGAACTCTGTCTTGCAGACAATGTCCTTGTATATAACGTACTGTCCCGAATATTGAGATAACGAATTAAAAATCGTTCAACAGGCTTCACCCAGTGTAAAAGAATAACGCTTGCGTTTATTTTTAATCAAAGATATCTCGAGTGTGAAGTCGTGCACAGAAAAACGTGCTAGAATCAAGTAAACGTAATTAGCCGTTTTTCAGTCTCTTAATCCTCTTTCGTTTTGTTTCTGTGTCTACACGGTAAAAAAAAACACCCTTACTTGCGTTAAAATCGGTTCTTGTTGAAATTTTTGTGTTAAACATACATGTTTTTGATATACCCGTGTGTTAATTTAACATATCGTATTTATGTTATCTCAACGTTTTGTGTCGCGTCGATATTCAATATGTGTGCGAGTGTTAAAATAACATATTTTATATTTCAGTGTCGATTAACGTACTGTGTGTTAATTTCTGACATGATATTTGTGTCACTTTCAACGTATTTACTTTGGATTAAACTGACACAAAAATTCTTACAGATCATTTGAGACATGTAAAGGTGTGTTGAATTTAACAGCAAATTTTTTCACCATGTAGTTCCCAACTCCCACGGTTGAAAACTAAGTCCGGTAATTAAATCTCAGTCGTATTATATTAGGACAGCTTCCCTCTTTCCGTGGCAGCGAAGTATCTTTCTTCGAAGTGTCTCTCTGCTCGAACAACTGGCCACAGGTGTGTCTCAATTTACCATTCAAACCCGTTAAGAGTCATGCATCGTCGTGCACGAAAGATGTCGCAGCGGATTTGCGGAGTCGTGTCGTCTCCGTGTGAGACAGATGTCGTTACAAGACCCGGCTGAGACGCGACTTGCTCGCGACGCATGTTATCCTGTTAGGTGTGAACCACGGCGCCGCGTGCCGACGCAACCCATTGGACCTTCGAGGAAGACGCGCTTACCACTGCGTCTCCGCTAATCGCACGCCGCGCGGTCGACGCGCACCACTCGCGGGCGCGAAGTGCGCGCGCGCACACGGAACGGAAAAAAAGCAAAAAAGAAATGTGGCAGCGGTGGGATTCGAACCCACGCCTCCGAAGAGACTGGTGCCTTAAACCAGCGCCTTAGACCGCTCGGCCACGCTACCTCGGTGGTTATGATTTCGCCTCTTCCTGAGCTACTACGACGCGCTTCTTCTGGAAACTAGACCGTCCCGGATCGCTGTATGACCCTTGAAACGTGGTCCACAATGGGCAGTAGGAGGATGTTTGTAAAAAGTAAGTGTAAGAGATAAACCAATCACAGTCGATTAATTCTCCTTACGTTCGGATGTGATTGGTCGATTTTTATTCTTACTTCTTATGAAATATACTCGTAACGCCCGTTGTAGACTACGCTTTATAGAGCAATCTAGGACGGCGTGTCACGCGCAGAAGAAGATTCAATAAGAAGTGAAACTCAGAATTTCTAATTCTTATGATCCAAATTTGATTCTTACAACCGCCAGAAATTCTTCGGCCAAGACGCGTTTGGTTCGTTCACTGACTGGCAAATTCAACCGAACTTTTTTTTCCTCCGACGATTGACTCAACGGAACCGACCAATCGTACGGGCCAATTATCTGTAGCGAATAATGCGATTGCTCGATTCCATCGAGTTCTAGTCGTCGATTAGATTTAAGTCACGATGATAGAGACGGGCATTAATCGGTGTCTCCTCCGTTTGCCGATGGCCGATAGGTCACGGCTGCCAGGATAGCGATCGTCGTTCGATGGGTCATCGATTCGCGCTTCTCCGCGAACGTACGTATTCGATAGGTCGCATTCGGCCACTGGAAGTAAGTGGTGAGTAAGTGATCCATATATAGAAGCGCCCCCACATTTTCACCAACACGGGCGCGCACCTGTCACGCATATATACGCAGGGCGACCGCGGTGGAGCACACTTTTTGTGTGCCTGAGCTTGAGTCGGTGAAAAGCTGCTCTCGACGCCGCGCGACACGCCGTGGAATTTGAGAGAGGAAGCCGCGGAGTTACGCAAATCGCCTGGACGCCATGCCCGGACGCCCACTTTGGCAGGTAAGCCGCGCGCCATTTTTCCGAGTCGCTGCTTAATGAGCGCGGTATATATCACGCTAATTATATTTACGTCTCCCCCGTCGTGACTTTTCTCGTGATCTCGTGCGCGGGGACGTCGGATTCATTTCGCTCGAGACAATCGGGAATTCTTAGGGGAGGGTGTGCAACATGCAAAAATGTGCGTCGGGAATAAGATTGCTTAATATGTAATAATAATATGCGTGATCATATATCATTATTAACGATCCCTCGCGTTTCAAACGATGACAACTTTTCTATTTCGGACCGCTCTGACTCAGTGGTACCGTCAAATTGCGAAAATTTTCGCAGATCCCGACATTAAAACGCTTCTAATTCAGGAATCGCTCTTAACAGTGAGTCACCGGTCGAAATTTATCGCGGTTCTCGTTTTTCTTAAGACCCGAGCGTGCGCGGATAATTTCTTCAATGCAATGTCGAGAATCAGAGTCGGAACGGTGACGAGCGAACGATCGTCCCTTGCCGACATCGAGTTTCGGAATGAGCGGATCTTTACGAACGTTTTTCATCCGAATTGTACTGACAGGACGAAGTGGCGAATTCACGATATTGATCCGATAGAAACGCTTTTGAAAGTGGATATACATACGAGCGAACGAACAACGAACAGCGAATCTGTAGTGTGTAAACGACGCACATTTTTACATGTGTACACACCCTCTCCTGCGAATTCCTAATTGTCTCGAGCGAGATGAATGATCTGACGTCCCCGCGCGCGAGATCACAAAAAAAGTCACAACGGGGAAATTTTTTCTCCGTATATATTTGTGTTTAATGAACACTTACGAACTTTCCTTTATAAATCACCTTATGAGCAAATCGGTTCGAAACGAGTTCTTTTCGAATTTATTGTGGCGTAGACGTTTTTCACATTGACAACAAAAACTTGCATCTATTTTTCTACTGTTCGCTCGATGTATACCTAGCTTGAGATAACAGCGTTATTTAATAATCGATGAAAAGAAAAATTGAGACACGTCTCAGAACTGTCTTCCGGGAAGGTCGATTGCGTTCCGGAATAAACTGATATGAAGCCGTGACCCGAGTCCAGCAATGGCCGCCGTGCCACGGCGATCCAGAAATAAACCGAAAGGCACTAAGATCTGCCAAGGAAAGCAAAAGTATGAATTAAATTATACCGCGGCGCAACACGCGTGTAAACGTGCTTTCGTGACATGCGCGAGTTACTCCCCACCAAAAATTCAGAAAAGCGTGTCGCAATAACACGGACTTGAGCTCCCGATTTATTTACAAACAGTGGCGGTTATTTTTATACGAGTGGGCGTAAAGATAAACATACGAAGGTACGATAGCCGGTGGATCTCCCGTCGCTCGAGAAAATTCCTCGCTCATTGGCGATGTGCCGTACAAAATTAATTTCTCTCTCTCTCTCTCTCTCTTTCTCTCTCTCTTTCTCTTTCTTTCTGTGGCACCGATATAGTCGATCTACATAGTTCATTATTATTGGTTATTATTGTTTTAAGACAAAAAAAATGTGAATTGTAAATGTGAATTGTACACAGAAGACAAATTGACTCTTATCTCGCAGAATCTAATACTTTAAGTCACCGATATATCTCGGTTGATTCTTTTCACGAGTGAAAAAATTATCTTTGCAAAATGGTAATCGTAAATTTTCCCTCTGTGACATATTGGGAGATTTAATGTCTCACGATTAACTTCATTAGAGTAAAATAGATGCTATGTGAGCGAAATGATCATCACGAACATTTCATGAGATTGGCTTAGTCCCAAATAGCAATGTCTTTGAGGTTGTTGCATTACTTCCTCCATTTAATCACTTGTAATATTAACGTATACTTCGGAGATTTATTTATAGATTGTCTCCGTTCGCGATGCTCATGATGTTTGTTCATGATGATTTCAGAGTCGTGTTAAATTTATCACAGTGAACTGTAATATATCACAGTTTACATATGATCATAGGGTGCAAGTTGGAGAAAGGAGTATTATAATAGATTCTACATGGAAAAAATCAGCCTTAAATCAATGATAGGTATTTTCATACAGAAGAATATTATAATCTTCTTAGAAGATTTTTTAGTCTCGATTGAATTTGTGTTAATGCAAATATTGCTTGCATCCAATTCAAGACTAAAAATCTTCTAAGAATATTCTAATATTCTTGCTTATACATAAGAATATCTGTTATTGATTTAAAGACTATTTTTTTCGGTATACGAAGTCATTTTATTTGTAATTTGCATTGTACATACGTATATTGTGTAAATGATAACAAGAATGCAGAATTTTGCATACTGATTTAATTTTCCAGTCTACAAACACTGTGGACTCGTACAATTTGATTCACAAAATATATAGAAAAGCCAACTTGTCCGCGACATAATTTAAATTTGCGGGAACATCGTTTTAGCGAAATATTATTTGAAGTCTGCAAGGTAGTTGTATATCGTATAGGAAAATGTAAAAATTATTTTTGTATATTCTAGAGGTCTATATATGAATTTATTGGACCTTTTGAGTTATGTGCATTAATATCTGTATAATAATGTAGTGTAGTGTAGTGTTGCGTGTATGTATATGTTGATGTACGTGTATGTTTACGTGTATGTTCACAGGATATAGTGTGAATATCTGGTGTAAATGTTGTTATCGTCGTGTAAATGTTTATGTAATGTTCTATCAAACGTTTGTGTAATATTGATGCGTAGCCTTTTGTTTAAGATAACACGTATTCAATTGGCAACGAGTACGCATTTAATACGAAAGTGTAATTGTGCGTTAAAAATTGTTCGAGTAGGTGATGATGTATTGTACGTGTACGTATATTTAAATAAATTAATATTCTCCGTAAAATATATAAAGCACTTCTAGATATATCGCAATTTCGTCGATAGCAAAAGGAGCTCATACTTACATTCACATGCAAACTACACTGTTATGAGTTCATATAAAAAATATTTTCTGCGAATAGACAGAAGGTTACAATTAACGCTGCTTATTGGTGCTTTACGTAGAAAAGAGAAAAAGAAAATAATGTATATTAGAGTTGTTAAATATCAACATTTAGGCCTGACTAAAAAGTAGTAATGGTCGTAATCTCTGATACCGCAGACATACTTATTCGTGACGGTGTAAAACAGGCGATTTACATTATTCGTAACACGGAAAAAAAGTATTAACGCAAACTACTTGATCTCGTTTATACCGATAACAATCATGACAGTAAAAAGTTTATAGTTGTTTTTGGCGAGACTTACGAGAATTCGGGAAATACTCTTTAAGAAGGATTTTGTCCTCGCATTTTAGACGTGATTAAAAAAAAATGCGACTTATTTCGACGTTTTTATTTTACCGTGTTTCATGTTCGATGGCCTAAGTAGTCATTGTAGATGTATGTAGTGGTAGCAGTACGTTAATTTGCTAGAAAAATTTACATATGTCGCGTATTGCCGAAGCCGCCATGGCCGGCTTGAGTAGCACCTTTGTTGTAACCCATTTGAAGATTCACTTGACCTTCACTGGCACGAAGCTGTTCTTCCGTGAAAGTTCTCTTGTTCTCTTCCGCCATCTTCGGTCCCAATCCTGGCCCAGTCCATTCTTCATGTTTCTGAGTCTGTAAAAAATGAGTCGTAAGAATATTTACCAATTAAATGCCATGGTTGTTTATTATATTGGTAATTGAAATCATAATTAGGCAATGACAAGCACGCGAATTTGTCGTACGTCATTCTAAATGTACCAACAAATTTCTATAGATATTCATTTTTTAATATTGATTTGCGAAAATTTAAATTATCTCTCGTATTCTGGTAAGAATAAAAACAACAGTTTTTAAATTCCTGATACTTTGTAAAAGTGAAAGTTTAAACATGAAAATTTCTCTTGGCGTGAAAGTCACTCCAGCTTTTTCATTTCTGTCATAAGTCGCGAAAATAATTTGTCACGAGCATTAGCCCCTAGTTATAGCTCTATAAATAATCGATTAGTCATTCGGGAGGCACTTACGATTCTGCCCAACGCGTACAAGCAGAGGGTGACTTGAGGGATGTTGCGTCTCTCAAAGAGATCCGCGGTTTGGAAAATTTCCTCTTGCGGGACACCGTAGTTCTTGATCGCTGCTTGGAATCTATTAGCAGATTAAGACAAATCTTATAGCGTCATATGTAAAAATTAAAGAATACTGATATATAATTGACTATATATATGTATATCATATAACGCACCTTTGAATATTTTCCATAAGTTGGAAATTCGTGCCCTTAGATTGAATCTTCTTCACCGATCCGGGCGCGAGTTTGTTGATTAATTGGCAAAGGATTACACCGTCTCTCAAGATATCCTCGAAGTTCCCGGGAGGGAGTTTCTCGCCTATTACAGCCTCGATCCAGCTGAGAATCTCAGCCTCCTGCTCCTTATTGCGACCCTGAAACACGCATAACCGAATTACATAGAATTACATTATTGCTAACAAAGTTATTTTTCATTAAAACAAATGTTTTCCATTCGACAAATTTTCGCTTCGAATGGAATTTTCATCGGAATGCATTTCCACGGGGTAGGCCGGCCGCGCGCATTCGAATATTGTAAGCGTTTTCCTCGATGACTTAAAAATGGCCGTGTATCAGAAATAGATCGCACACGCCGGTGTAGGATTACCCGCGTAAAGAGTCCAACGTCGAAAATAAAATACGGCGTCTGAACTCGTGGCTTTTATTAAAACTGGCAGACCGGTGTTTAAACCATCAGCCACCTGTTTCACCGTGCCGTGTGACTTTACGTTTATAGACGGACCTTAATTCACACTCCAAGCGAATCACAACTTCTCTCTGAATGAAAGTCTTTGCTTAGAGAAATAAAGAAAAGATAAGATCTATATTTCTATGAGTAGCGAACTTAATGTATTTCTGAACACACTTTCAAACATATTAAAAAGATCAATGTAACCAGAAAATTCATTAGCTAGCTCAGACGATTAATGAATTAAAATCATCCATATAGTGTTCGATGATACGAAATAAAAAATACCGTCTAAGACACCCAGCAGGGACATTAAATCCAAGCGCTAGAATATTAGCACAATCTAAATTGGAATTAATTAATTTAGACAAAGACGACAAATAGATAATTCCCGCGCGTCTTAATTGCTCTTAATTGCTCACGGGATTCGTCAACGTTTATGCGATTCGATTTACGAGCCGAACAGCTGACTGACGCAAGCGGGAGAATCTGGCACTCTTTGGTCGGCGCTATAAATTAGTATTTATAGCGAAATGAAACATTACGAGCGCGAGGCCGCGGATTCGAAGCCGCGTGATAAATACCGTAGCCGCGTAATGGCGATCGGCCCGCGAAATACGCGAGATTCGCGCGCGATATTTTGGGAAAGACTGTTTGGGTGCCGCCGATATACAATGAAATTGTGCAATTGTGTTTGTATCAACGTCGCGATCGCGCGTCTCGACGCGGACGGCGCAGCTGCGTGAATATATTTCGGCACGTTGACTTCGGCTAAGACGCATTGCCTTGAATAATGAGACCGGCAAGACTCTAATTGAGCGCATTATTTGCGCGATACGTTACACGACGAATGGTCCTCCCTTTCCCTCGCGAGACAGACGCGCGTTTAGCGTGGTTATTCTTGGTTGCAGTGCTCGTGTTATGTCGATAGGCACGCGGGAAAAGAGTTGTCTTATTAACTAGAAAGGGAACAACCGGATGCGTTTTGGTTGGAGGAAACAATTTCTGGTTATGAGAAACATATTTGGGCCATTAAGCTCGATCTACAATATGCTCTTTGCTTCTTGTTTCTTGCCCTCTACCTCCATAAGTAAATAGAAATTCTTACGGAAGAAAGATGAAGCAAGAAGCAAAGAGCAGATTGTAGGCCAAGCTTAAGAATCAGAAATTCTGCTTTCTTCAGCCAAAATGCAATCCGGTTGTCTCCTTTCTGATTAATGAAACCGGATTTCTTTTTCCGTGCATGATAGTGGAGCAATTGTCATTGTAGACACAACGACGGAACTGGATTTGTGTTCATAAAATCGAGCGCCCAGACGTCAAACGGACGTCGACGGAAACGTGTTTTCTTAACCGAGTTGCATCGACGAGATAGACATGACGTGGGACGTCCGCGGAACGTCCTAGAAGTGGCGGAAGAGCGAAGATTTGTACCTCGTCATATTTTAACTCGATTCCTGTTCTTAAAAAGAGGAAAGGGAAGAATTCAGGACGGTTTCGTTTAACAAAGTTCATCCAGCTTCGACATTCTGTGTTCAGCAAAAAGATTTGTTGGATTTGTTGGATACGGAAAGATAATTTTGCCGTTATAGCAAAACGTCGTTGCGACAGCAATGAAATTTAGTCGGCATAACCAAATTATTATTTCGCCATCCATTTATCCAGCAAATAGCAATTAATGCTCTTAACAAATCTTTCTGCTGTCGAAACAAACTCTTTCTGCCGTCCAAACAAATTATTTCTGCTGTCGCTATATTAACAAACAATTTGCTGTTCTAGCAGAATCTGTTTTCTCCGTGCGGACAAGATAAGATTCTACAGCAAGATAAAGTTGACATTGGACTTCCCGTCAATTCTGGAACTTTCTGCGACATCGGTTTGCCATAAATTAAGTCTGCCGCGCGATATTGGCCATGAACGGGGGTATCTTCGCGAACAGGCGCGTCATGTGGAAGCCATCGGTTGAGAATTTCCGACCTCTTATCTGCGAAGTGTCAGACTCCACCGAGGCAACGTGTTCCTCGTCGCATCCATTCGACTCGGGGTGGTATTTTAAGCCGCCGTTTTCAAGGGGAGCGGCTTCCGCTCGAACGAAAGCGGCCTCGCCGCTTCCGAGGATGTTTTGCGCGAACGTGACGCGCAACGCCGTGGCCACTCACTAAATTTAAAGTGAAATTAGGTGGGGCCCCCGCGCGATTCGCGGCTCCAGTGAATTGGCCGGCGACAGATCGCGCGCGCACCTGTCCTCGTAGACGCATTTCGTCGTATCGTTCGCATGAATTGCATATTATAATCGGCCACTGCGCCGCGCGTAGGACGTGACTCGGGACGAACTTAGCTACGAGAGACTCGATAAATCTACATCCACTTACAATCACGAGAAACGCGAGATACACGGGACTCCTGTCTTAATTTTAACGCGCAGATGAAAGTCAAACAACAAAGTTTAACGAAAATTATGGATCTATAATAATGACAATGAGAAGAGAGAGAGAGAGAGAAAGAGAGAGAGAGAGTTATATTTAATGTGTGTTGTCACTGCTTCGTATTATTACGGACAGACATATCAAGCAGCTTATCAAATTCCAGTAATAATTTTTAACGAATTATATTCGCAAGGAGTAAATCATGTTACCGACGACAATAATTATCGAATTAATCAATGAAATAGTCGTTAAATTTCTTGCGCAATCGCACAATCCGCAATCGCAGCCAAATTTACTCGAACTGCTGCGTGGTCATTTCTATTCGATCGGAAACTCATCGCCGATTTTTCCCAAATCTATTTCTGCTTTACAGCTTCTGAGGATAACGTCGAAAAGATTGTGTTGTGTAACGTTATTACGTTAGGATATAAATACACCGGATGTGAAGGAGAAAGGCATACATCAAAGAGGAGTACTGACGTAAATCCATGTATCAGGATGATTAATGGGATCGTGACCACACGGGAAAAAAAATTAGTCTTCAAGAATAGATATCAAGAATAGATATTCTCGTATATAAGTAAGAATATCATAATCTTTTTAGGAGACTTTTGGTCTTAAACTGATTGAATTTATATTGATGTATTACTTGAATTAAATTCAAGACTAAAAATCTTCTAACAAGATTATAATATTTTTGCTTGATATGAGAATGTTTATTCTTGATTTCAGACTAATTTTTCTCCGTGCGGAAATATTATAAGGTCTGCATAAAAAGAAAACATTTGTGTTACCGGCAATATCAAAGTTTTCCCGCGATTCAAGTCGTCCTCTTACAATTTATTAAGGGTACCCATAAGTAATGTCATTTTTTCAGATTGAATAAATATCTATTATGAGGTTGTGAATCCCAATAAAACCATAACTGCTGAATATTATTGGTATACAGCTTGATAGATTGAATATCGCTTTGCTTCAAAAACATCCAAGGCTGATTAATCGAAAGATTATCATTTTCCAGCGTGATAACGCAAGCGAAATTACTTACGGATATCCCTAATATATTGATTACAACGTATCTCACATATTTCTCGATTGTAAACCCTAAAATACTAATTCTTGGACACCTACCTAACTTTGAATATACTCATTATTTTAGTCTTTAAATATGAATATTTAAACTTTCAATATAGAATAATGCACGTATGTTGAATATATATATTTATTCTATGTTAAAGATTTAAATATTCACATTTAAATACCAAAATAATAAGCATGTCCGAAGTTACGTTCAAAAGTACGTTCAAGCATTAGTACTTTTATCTTGTTTTTCTCAGTGAAAAATATGATAGTTTCATGTCGAGCTGTTCACTTTTGGTATAATTTGTAAAAAAACATATATATGTGTGTGTGTGTGTATACATTTAATATATATATATATATATATATAAAATAAATGTATCTTTTTCACTAAAGAGTCGCCTCACTCCGGAATCGAGTCGCGATCGATCGTCGGCGAAACGCGGAACGACAGAAATGACAGCGGGGGGAAAACGTACCGGCATGTTGCAATGTCGTTTCCTCGACGACGATAGTTTTTCCCGGCTAGATCTGACTTTGAAACTTAGATGATGCCGAGTAGAAACTAAATCGGACGCTGCGCGTCGCGACGCTATATGGCGTTATCCCCACCCAGCCGTGTCTTTCCGATATTCAGCAGCGGGTGCCTTTTGGCCCGGCGCCAGTTGGATGGGTATTCCCACACCCCCGCTCGTAACCAGATCTTGACACCGCGGCCCTATTTACAAGACGCGGCATGGCCCTAAATTAAATTACAATTCGCATCGGGACAGGCGATTGCGGGAAACCACGTGGCATTGTCCGCGCGACACACACCTCGGCACGTCTCGTACAGGTACTAAAAGCGGAACGAAGATGAAAAAACAACATAGAAGGGAAACTTCGATCGTGATGAGAATGAGAGGGAAAGTGAGTCCGATAGTGAGGAAAGCATAAATAAATAATTCGTTCGAGCTGTACGTTGTTTCTCAATTTATCCTTCAAACGGATCTACTTTGATTTTTCGTGTTAATTAATCTCAACGTGAAATTAATTCGATTACTTCGGGTAATTTAGTTCGGAAAGATTTCGCTTCTCGTGGGATTTCGATTGGACGATCAGCTTGAAATTTTTCTCGCTGACATGCAGCTGCGTAGCGTGTGCGATGTAGCAATCTATTTTTGACGCATAGAGAAGCGGAGTGCTCTAATGTGCAAATCTAACTTTGAACATTCGATTTTAGCGTTCGCGATTTAATTGATAAGTCGCTCGTAAAGCTGCGGTTCAACGAATCGTCCGCCAACCCAGCCGGCACTCGATTGAGGTCGTGCATTAGCCGAGAAGCCTATTTTTGTGTTTAGAATGCACGTTTCATTTTAAAAGCTACACGTGTTTCGTACCATGCATTTGTGTTTCTCGTTATTTTCCAATTGCATGCATAAAATAAAAATGATATTGGTTTAATATTAATTAACAAACGGAAGTAATGCTCGTCGAGACAATTGATTTGTTGAAATACGAAAGTAATCCATTTAAGCGCTCTCTTGTATGAAATTTGCTTAAAAAACGCGTGTGAAGATTATTTATTACCTTCCTTGCGAATATACAGATCTTCAATCTGTTAAACGTTTCGGTTAAAAGGAATGACTGAATATCTATTTTATTTCTGAATATCGCGCGGGAATTTACGTTGCGAATGTGAAAATAAGCGTGATACCATGGGACGTAATTTAAAGCGGCGTTTTACGAAATATCACGAACAATATCTGACACTGTGCGTGCATTATAAACTGAAGGCGCGCGAAAGTCAGCGGATCCGTAAAGCGGAAAAGTTCGAACAAGTGGGTGTATTTTGCGCGAAACCACGGTTTAATAGGTATGGAGACTCGCCAGATGAAAACGCCGATACGTAAACGTCGTAATTTCTGGACCCTGGCCACTTCGAAGGGTGAGGCCACCGCCGAGTTTAGATTTCGTCAATCGTCGCTGTTTCCAAGTTTATCGTAACACAACAGATCTGCGTAGACGTCTGGAACGATTTTGTGATGCGCCTGTCCGCGTTACATAACATACGCGATTTCTTGAACAAATAGCGCGTCATCGATAATCCTCTCAAAAAAAATGAAAAGAAAAAATGCGTTGGAATGTTTTACAAAGAGAGACGATAAAAATGCCACAGCATCGATGCAATGTTAAAAAAATCCAGTCGTGGAAGTTTCCATAAAATATATATATATATTGTGTGTGTATGTGTGTGTGTGTGTAACAGTAGTCTTTATTTATTGCGAGTTATCACCAAATTATTTTATAATTATTAAAATAATCGGACGTAACGCGTTGCGTTTCTTGGCTGCTTTACGCAATATTATAGAATGTACATCATTTTACAGAAACAAATACATATATGTGAGTGTAACAGTATTAGTTTTTATTTATTACGAGTCATTACAAAATTATATTTCATGATTATTAAAATAATCGAACGCAACGCGTTATATTTCTTGGCTGCTTTGCGCGATATTATAGAGAACGCGCGTCATTTTATAGAGCCTATTCTTATCCCTGTCAAGACGAGTTACGGTCTTGTAAAATATATTCTTATTTCACGAGTAAAGCAACACGCGAAAATGAAATATTCCTTTCATTGTAGCGGAAAATACAAAGCGTTAAGGAAGATAATGATGACGAAACGGGCGGCATCGCGTCGAGCACGCGCGTCGCGAGCGCGCAACCTCTCGCGGAACCTGCTTTCCTGTTCAGATATATTTTCACGCAAATACTCGAATAGCGGGTCGTTTAAATTATCTGTTAATAATGGCAAATGTTATTCGTGTTCGGGCGTCGAGCGGGCGAGCACGTCCGACGAGCGGGGTTTTCTTGTTCGGCCGCTCGTTAGTTCCCGAAGTGAACGCTACGTGGCGTCTTTCGGGCGTTTTCTCGCAGTTAAAATTTACCCGGACGCTTATAAATACCGGGCCGTGCTAGTGTATCATCAGCTTTGCGCAGTGGCGATATCGTAACCAATGAGGTTCTACCGAGGTGCGATTATTGCTAGTTGAAAACTTTTACCAATACCCCGCCATGACGATGTGAAACACCATCGGCTACGGCAATTTTTGAAAGTTTCTGCGGAAACTGATCATTTATTGAAAACAAAGTTCTCTTTAAGAATCTATTCTCTACTCCATTAAAAAACACAGGGAGTTACCTTCTCTCTGTATCTGAAAGAGGAAAAAATCTTGACATCAAAGGTAGAGAAAAATCGTTAGATTCTACCTACGACTTATAAACTCTTATAATCTCGATGGCACTTCATCATAATTTGTTACGTTTGATGCAGCCATCAGATTATTGCATCTCCGTGTAACATCCGCAGCAACGACACGTCGCGTCGTTAAGAAGTTCGAGAATAGATGAATAATGCGTCGTCGTGCTGCCACGCACTGAGGCTGTATCGATTGGGGCGCTTGCGCGCTGTAAGCGTCGTGTTCTGTCTTTGTCTGTTATATGCTAAAGGGAGACAGAACGATGTTTAAAGCGCATGAGCGCCTAAAGCAAACGTGAGAGCTCGGTCTAACCGTTGTAGGTTTGCAAACCATGTATCATGTATGGTTTAGTTAAATTAATTATAAATCTTAGCCGGAATGTTCTGTTTTAAATGACGATTTCACGTAGCAAACAGTACTTTAAGAAGTATACATTTGGTCTGTCTTTACAGCTGCGTTGCCTGAACTAGTGCAATAAGTTGAAGTGAGACAAATACATGTTTTCTCACTTCAACTTGTCGCAGCCAGTTCAGCAGTGCAGCTATAAAGTACAGATCAATTGTCTACATATGTCGGTAGTATTATAAAATATAATTCTACGAGACGATGTATTCTACGTTGAAGAAAGAAGAAAGAAGAAGAAAAATGATAATCGTCCTGTAATAGATATTACTGCAAAGTAAAAAAAGAATTTATAGGATTCTCTTTACTAAATTTTTACCACTAAACATTTTTTATTTTTACATTTCTCCGGAGAACTGTCTCCTCTCTTTTTAAAACATTTTTGCTTACGCAAAGTATAAAATTAGATCTCCCGCAATATATATCTACGTGAGAAAAATGTTAAGTAAATAACATGTCTCTCTCTCTCTCTCTCTTAGAAACCGAGCATCTCACTGAACTGTTCTCATTTCTCTGGCATACCTTAAAAGCGTTACTCTCGTAAAATACAGTTGGGTAGGGCATATAGCATCTCTTTATTTCTCTCTTTCAAAATTTATCGTATTACTTTTTAACCGTCAGTTTCCAATTATGTTATCTAGGTTGCCGGCAAGCGAGAAGCGAGCCAAGAAGCCGAAGCCCAGCAATGGGTCGAAATGGTCGTCGGCGAAAGATTTCCACCAGGTTAGTGTATGTATGTGTGTGTATGTATGTGTCAACATAAATTATATTAATTTTCAGATAATATTTCGTATCGCATTTAGATTACGTCTACCAGTACACATTAGATAAATATTATAAACAAATATTTCATCAGTTCAAAATATTTACAGCATTTTTATATAATAGTTGTTTCTTTGATATTTTTGAAGATGATCATAAATAATTAGATACGAATGTTTTATTGTATATTTTATTATTACGTGTGCATATTATAATTAGATTCGTGACATATTACGTATAAATTTTATTAATCAATATTATTTAAACATTTGTGACGGTTAATACTCGTCGATTCGCACGATACAATTTTACGAAGTGTCGTCGCGTGTCTTGGCCGTTTTTATCACGATTGTAGTTTCCGATTGTACATAAGTAAAGATATCAGGGGAGTATCGATTACCATGGAAGCGGAGTTATCACTATAATACACCCTCTATCAATCGGGAAAAATCTTGCTCGGATATGAAGTCCTGATATGTGGAGGCGACCGAAAACCTGCAAGCTTAACTGTCCTTGCATCTCAATTTATCAGAACTGCCTGGTTTTCGCGATTCATACATTTTCTTTGGGAGCCAATAAGCACGTGATTTTTGCATTGATATGTCACTTAACAAACCGATTACTGCATTTTTAAACTTATCCATTGGGTTGATGTAACTTAAAATATATGAGATGTTTAAGTAACAAAACGCGGGAGGCTAAAAGTCCGGCTGTCTGCTGCTCTTCAGAATACTGTAAAAACAAACAACACATACAACAGCCCTTTTAATGTAAATATTTTCTCTTATATAAAATGATAAATATATTAATGTAAATGTTAAATAAACAACGCATGCAATGGCACTTCTAATATAAATAGTATTTTAATGTAAAAATACTTTATTTCCGTGAAAATGGCATAATGTCGGCACTAGGCTTCTTACATAAAAGTCGTGCATTTAATGTCGCTGCGGACACATATGAACTCCTGTTCCGTGGAGGTGATGCGGCTCCGAAAGCGTTTCGATGTTTTCATCCCCGTCGGCGCTTGGGGCGACGCATTAAGCAAAGGGATTGAGGCGAGTCTTGTTACATCTAACTGGAACCGCATAATTGCCGGATACAAATGTCAGGTCGCGTGACGTCGCAAAGGTTAAGCTTCGTCGATAGGTCAGTTCCTCCATATAGCACACTCGTGCGTTACGTACTATGTCGCGACACCAAGTACATACAATACATCAATCGCATTTATTTGAAACGCGCGCGACAAAAGTGCAATAACGCCATAATCGCATATCGATCAATATTTTAACCAGTGTTTTGCGCGACGTAGTAAACGTAATTGTCTACAGTTTGTAGAAATAGACGACTTCTCTGTATAGAAGTATAAATATTGTAGATACGAATGTACATAGATATGAGCATAACTTAGAAATACAGATGTTAACATTTTAAATTCACATTCACAAACGGAAGGTGTATACGTTCTCGAACGAATTACGATGATTAAGGGGCCACAGGAATAAAAATGACATGAATAAAAATTAGGTAAAATTTGGGGAGTTGTAAAAAGTTATAAATTATAGGAGTATGATTTTTTTGTTACATATGTCTGTTAAATATATTTAATGTCTGTATAAAAGAACTAGACATTATGATGAATATTAACATCATTGTGCCCATTTCAATTCTGTTCTGCAAGATAATCATATATCAGCACAATCATTTTAATTTCAACAGGAATAATCTGAAATCAGTATCAATACATTTTTTATCCATTAGAATTATAGTTATCGGTTCGCGGAGGATTCCCGCAAATTTCAAAGCAGTTATTTATTTATTTATTTCGCAAGCTCGGATTTTTCAGTGCAAAGATTCAATTTGATTTTTTATAATGCGCAGTTTGCAAAATAGTTTTTTTCAAAGTCTGCTTCGTGAATCGATAGCTGTAAATGTACTCAATCTTCCGTTAGTAGTAACATCTAATAAATTCCATTTTAATACTTGTCAATTTCTTTTCCACTGTTTTTTATGTACTTTAACGCCTAATCTATTAGCCAAATTTTAATGAAAGAAAAATTCTTTCAAGAAGAAGAGAAAAATAATGGGAAAATTAGTGAGTACCCGTGAGATACATTGTATTCATGAATGAAAAATATTGCGACTAACGGAGAGATGAAATAATAGATATACATAAGATGAAAAGATGAATTAATAGATATACATAAGAAAAAATTCATGCTCATATTAATTCCCAACTTTTTACGACTCCCCAGATTTCACTCAATTTTGACTCCTGTCATGGTTCCGCGACTCTTTAAGTTGATAATAGCAATATTCGATATTTATACGTGCGTGGTATGTCGAAAGACACGCAGCTACAACGAGCCTTCATACAAGTGTGCTGCAAGCGGAAGCTCAGGGTGAGCAAAATTAGAGACTTACATCCTAATCGTGTTAACGATTTTTAAGAGGTTGGCGAACCCTACCCGAACTGTCAGGGGTAGTTCTACTTCTTGTCGCAACATGCTTCCCGGGCAAAACGCGCGCTTTGTTACGTCATTGCGAGCCACCCTATCGAGCTCGCATCGGCGAACAACCCTCAGCCTCGGCATACATCCCTGTTGCGACAAACACGCCAGGCGTCGACGCAATCGGTGTTGCTCCATGTACGTTTGCGCGGCGCATCGCCGTTCTTCTTCTTTACACTCCTTTCTGTACCTACGAATCGCAGACACAGTCTTAAAACGAGCACAATCGATCGTCGGACTATTATTTGCATATGAATACTAGGTCGCGGCGTTTTCCTCCGCGATAAGCCTTTGAAGAGGGTGAACATCGCGAGATCGTCGCTCGTCATAACATTCATCGGAACGAAATACATCGCCACTTTCCTCCGATCGAGTACTTATATATCGCGTGTATAAATAAGTCGTGGGATCGAAAATCCCGCCGGTTGATAAAAGTTTAATGAAATTCTCATGCTCAAAGCCGGGCGAATGCCGTCGCTTCGATCAGTCACACGACAACTCGGCACATCCACCGGCCGGAGTCATTCGCTGATGGCGCACTCTTTGAGACTCCTCGGGTCAGAAAGGGCACCGGACGTAGTCGATAATGTTGATTATGGCGAGTGTTTAGATTTAACGAGCCTCCACCTGTGACTGTCATCCTGGTTGTGCCGAGGACGCGATGGAGGTGGCCAAACGATGAAACCACCCCCACTCGAGCACATGATTAATCCCCCACTAGGGACCTTCGGTACCTACGACATCTGAGTGGGGATCCCCCGGCTTGCCAAGAAAGCTCTCTTGGGCGAGTGGCAGCCTGGTGTTCGCGAACCTTGAGCGTACCTGTCGGAAACGTACAGGAACCGGTCGTCTAATCGAGATCTAAACGATATCGAGGAACTCGAGCGGTTCTCCGACAGACGAACTCTCATTTCCGCGATATTTAGTTTTACGATAGTTTCAGCGAGCAATTTAAATCTAGCTCGCCACATTCCGGGTCCAGCGAATCGCTAAACTTTTCTCGATTTTCTAATTTTCATATAGCGTATTATTTTTTTCTCTTTTTTCTTAAAATATCAGGTGTTCGCTACAACGAGCGAACATTACCTTTTCTTAGTCGCATTTGTAAAACCATTTGAGAATTTTTTCTCGATAATATTCTACCTTCTCCATTTTCCAGCAATCTTTTCTTATAATAATAAGTTCAGCTGTTGAGTCAGATCTGACTCCATGTTGTATTTTGCCATTTTTTATGTAATCAATATACAATCTGAGTAAAAGAAGCAAATAATAATATGAAACGTTCCTTAAGAAGAGAAACAGCGTATGCACGTTGTAAAATAAACGAAGCCGTCGGGTCAATTTGACCCCACCTTGCCACTAGATGATTAACTTCAGACGACAAGCGTCCGATGTTTGACGCAATATTTATTTGTTTCGATCGATGTTAGGCAACGCGTAACAATATATTCATAACAAAATGTGATATACCAAGCGAAATTTACCGCGTATATGTACGCCTTTCAATGAAACAAATGAGCGTAAACTTTCTCAGGACATACGCCCTTATCACGCTCGTAGTTAAACGGTTAATAATATTATTCGCTGATCAAACATTATTAACATCTGCTTGTGGTTTCCCGGCGATTGTGACACTTGAAATATGACGATTTATCGCGCTTATTGCTGAATTTTGAAATTAATCTCGCTATCGGTGACTCTCGATATTCTTATCGATCGCTCTTATTTATTCCTACCATAGGAGAATTATGTTGATTATTCTTCGGCGTTTAGTATTTTACACGTTCACACTATTTTGCCCTCCTCCTGCTGCTCTGATAGTCTGGGAACGCGTTCAGTATTCATCTTTGAGTTTCCCTTCGACGACGTGTATCTAGGGACGCAGCCTAGATCGCGATAGACGTCACTCGCGGTTATATAGGGCGCACTCGAGCTCTATGCGAGGATGCGAGCCGGATAGCCGAAGCTTTTGATGTTATTGACTTGTTTAAAATTGAACTTAAACGGTTGCGATTCAATTACGGGATCTGGCGTCACCCCGGTTCAACGCGGTCCCGACCTACCCTAGACACTGGTGCCCTGGTGTCCGGCCAGCTAGAATTTGATGGGAATTTCGAGGTGCCTCGCAGGACTTCCAAATACGGATGATAGCCTGCTCCCGGAAGCTCGCGAGGCATGCTTGGCACGATCCTTGTCTGACAGACATCGATCGCCGTAACATCCTTACATCGCCGTTCACTTCGCCCACTGACGGTGTCGGACCGCACACGTGTTTATCTCGACTGCGGAAACCCCGGCATCAAATTAATTCGGAACAGCATTTTGCGTATCTTATTTAATAGAAATATTTAATAACGTTCATATATGGTTCACACGGGTTATATGAATGCGTTTTGCACACAGAGAAGAAGGTTTCTTTAGATTTAGTATTTCTATTTACTTGACTCACACTAAAATTCGTTTCACAGAAACAATATATACTTATACGAAACATTATTTTTTGTTACATTTATTGTATGCCTTTCGTTTGAATTGTAAAATCCAAGATGTACGTACGCGTTTTCCCGCTGTCGGAATTGCGTGGGAAAATTTCGCGGATTAAAGCGCCAGCAATTCGAACAGCGTTACGGAACGATCTAATTGTAAATCGCGACAGTTGACGATATTTTTACGAACGAATGGGCGAATTTTGGAGAAACAATCGTGTCGGTCGATATCAAAGGCGACTTTGGCGGACAATTTGATTTGAGATGTGCCAGGACGCAGATTACTCCTCGCGAATATTAGAACCGCTAGCTGACGACGCGGTATTGATTTACCGTCATCGGTTCATCATGTTACGTCGTAAGGACGCTGGCATACCAGGGCCGCATACGGTACTCCGGATGGTCGTTGACGCTAGTTATGTGTCACCTCTCCCCATTTCACCTTGGCCTTGCTTCCTCATTCCGGCGCATACTGCCCGTTCATTACGGCTGCATTTGACAAGCAACGTTCATAGTGCACGAGCGAAATTCCGACGGATGTCCTTCGTGCGCGCTCTCCTCGATTGTAAGCCCGAATTTACAGAACTTGCCGATCCAAGCAATAACCGTTCAAAATGTGCGATATTTTTCATATCTCTAAAGGTCTGCGAGTTTCGCAGAATTGTTTTTGCAATTTCCTTCTGATTGCGTACACTGAGAGAAATTAGAATTATTATAGGTTTTACCTGTGTCCCTTTTATAGTTTTAACAACAAAAATAGTAGTAACAATATGTATGTAAAGTGTTATTATCGCTGACATTATAGCAACACTTTTACTAGAAAAATGGTTCTTTGGATTTAATAAAATTTCCTCAATTGAAGCAAATTTGTCTTTTGGAATGGACCAAACGAACGAATATTTTATTCAACAGACAGAATTGTTTGGTGTTCCTCAAATAAGTATCTTTACGACAAATAACATATATCTTTTATATTGTCATTCGAACATTACAATAGTTGTCACGAACAATAAATTATTTGAAAGAAGCAACACTACATATTAAAAGAAAATATCAAAGAACTTCTCTTTGTTTCAGCGAAACAATATTAGATATATCATTAAATTGATTCTATTCGAAAACCAAATATTACGTATCATTTCCTCGAAATAGTATTGCTTTCCCTATACACTGATGATGATTTGCTCTAAGCGAAACATCAATTTTCATTCAAACAAAGGGACATCCGATATTAAATTATATTGTTCATGTTGCACAAAACCCAAGTGAAACGAACGCGTGTACTAAAGAAACTTCTTTCTTCATATAATCGCAAATACTTCAAGTAATCACAAATACCTCTTTCTCTCTCTCAATGCGTCAACTTGCGTCACGGCGCAGGTGGAATTGTCTCGACGGCACCGTTAATGCCCTCAGAACCGGACGATTCGGAAACGAGTCAGAGTGCACAGAGTGAAAAAATCAAGTCACACACACAGCAGGATTGCGACTTAAGAATTCGGCTCACTTCGCGCCACTGTGTACAGCGGATCAACTCGCGCACAGTGCGAGACAGCTCGACACTGTCCTCCGCGCGCTCGGTTGGTCGCGTATCGACGCGCCGAAGTGTGAATACCGCTTTAACGGCTTATCGGGGCTCCTCTGCCGGAACGGAAGAAGGAACGTCAGTCATCCGTCCGTCACGGTGGCGCAAGTCGCTTGGGTGCACCAGGGCACCAGCAGACGTTTGAGGGATTTATAGGGTGTCCCGCGCCGACACGTCGACGTCGGGTCAATCCGCTGAATTACGGGGGCCGGTTCCCCCTCATTTATGCCCGCACGAACGACCCCGCGCTCGCCGCAGGTGCGGCTCGCTCATTGAGCATCGCCGATGCTAACGCGACCGTCGTCCTGTCGATACGTCGATGCCTCGTCATCTGACACGGCGTGACGTCACGAAAGCTCGCGTATATTAGGGGAGCAACGGCGAGCAGTAGATGAATTTATGGCAACGGTTACACTGTTCCGCCCGCGGAGGACCCTGATAAACTTCTCTCGCGCGCGTCGTGAGGACCTCCTCGGCGGTGGGCCGCGCCGGGTGGTAAGAAGAATTTCTTCGATACGAAAGAATGTTCGACGGCGCGCGACGACGGACGTCCGATCACTCGAGGATGGGGCACAGGTGTCAGTTGTCCGTCAAAAGATCGTCAATGACGTCATTCCGAGACGAGCCTACCAGGATTACAGCCTCGAGCTAGATTTACGAGCGCCGCGCTATCAACAGGTGGTCGATGCTTCCGCAGGTACGACAACGCGGCGCGCGATTGCGTGTGCGCGTGCGTGAGCAGCCGGGTGGTTCGACGCAGCGCGTGTCATCGCGTCATCGCCGGATCATTCGTGGCTCATTGGTGCGATCAATCCTGGCAATTGGCAGGAAGTGCGCGGTAACGGCGGGCGAGCGCGTCTCGGAGGGTGGTCGGTACACGCCTCGCTCGAACGACTCACTTCTACTCGCGCGTTTTCACCCCGGAAGTCCTACGGTCGTCGGTAAGCTACTGCTTTTATGCCGAGTCGTCGTGCTCTCGCGTTGGTCTGTTCCTTACAGCTGAACTGACTGCTAATTCGAGAAATTAACACATATACATTAACACGTTGACTGCCACGGAACTTTTCACGATTCTGGTCTAGGAAGCCAATTTGATTTAATCAAGTAATGAAGCGACGAGATAACTCGTAGTTGGCGTCCTGGGCAAGTAAACAACCTACGAGATATCTCATAGTCGGCAGTCAACGTGTTAAACACATACACACACACACACATTGTACAAAGTGTACGTGCGAGATTCTCACGATTAAGTGCGCATAATTTTCGTAAACTGGTGCAGCTAGTTCGTATAAAGCACAGACCGTATCTCCCCTTCCTTCCAAGGAAAGAAGTTTCACCCTTGACAAAGTTTCCCTTCTGGCCCTTCCGGCCGATTTTAATAATGTTAACCATCGTGGTTGCGTGCATCTTTATCTTCCGTGAGGGTCGTGTATACACAGAAAAAAGTGTTAGATTCAAGTAAATAATTATTTCAATACTCCTTAGCAGGTTTTTATTTGGATAATTTACTTGGGAAATACTTGACTTGGATCAAGTAAATATCGTTTACCGAATTAGGAAAATTTGGAGCGTTGGAGTAATTATTTACTTGAATCTAGTATTTTTTTCTGTGTACGTAGAGAGAAGTTGATTTAAGGATGAATTACGGAAACGTCTCGACATGTTCTTCAGAGATTTTGACTCCGCACGAAAGTAAACACTCGCTCGCTCGCCTCACTGGCACAGAACGCAAGAGAGAAGCGGGAGAATCTCTCGGATTCTGCGTAGAACGGCGCGCATTCCCGCGAGACCTGTTGCCATGTTGGAGGTCGTAAATTCAAGCGCAGGATGTTGTCCTGGTGAAAACCGTGCCTGTGACGTCTTTATGACACGAGTCTGACGTTTAATCGATACGACGCTGACGCAAGCGCGTCTCTCTCTCTCATCGTCGTTTCTCCTTCTCTTCATTCGCCCAGAATATCTGCCAGATTCATTAGCGAGATAATTGTTGACGTTACCGCGAGTAACGCGAAGGCTCGATGGCCAACGTGAAACATAAATCGTCGAGGGAAATAGAAATGTGCATACATCGAAAACAAAGAGCTCCGAAAGAGAACACAAATCTTTCTTCTTGTATTCCTATTATCGCACAAATTAAGCAACAATTAATCGACGTGCGATCGTGAAATCCTGACGATCTCATCGCGCTACGTTGACATTAATTCCGACGCGCTCGTTATTGTTGTCGCGAAATTTTCCACGCGTTCTCCGCGCGAATCAAAGCGTGTTTCGTCGATAATGAGCGTCGACATTATTACAGATATTACAGCAACGGATAGTAAGTTTCTCACTGTCTCATGGGATGCGTTTGCAATTGATATTACAGCTACTTGAAAATACGAGACCACGTCCTGCAGATCGAACGAATCGCCGATTATTCATTATCGTCCGCACTCGCGCAACCGCATTTGCATAATGTTGCGTCCACCCCCCGACAGGCGCTCTCGCACATGTGAACGCGTCGACTACCGCGCGAAAAAAGACAAACAATCGAATTGCAACGAAATAACGAGCGCGACAAACGCGCGACTCGTCGGCGGTGGCGTGCCATCGATTTCACGTCAAATTCTCCAAACATGACGACTGTGACGTGTCAACGGAACAGGATAACATCACGCGTGGGAATAGTTCCGATCCGTCGATACATATTGTTGCGTTCGGTTCTTTTTTTTCCGCGGAAGACGGCAGGAAGACGCACGGCGTCTGAAAAAGACCAGGCCAGCATCACGTGTTACGGTCCGCCGGCGGACGAAAGAAACCGGCGAAGACAACGTCGAAGCCGTCGCGGTGCCGCCTTGAAGGCGAGCTATTGATTTTCTGTCATCTTCTCGGGTTTACGACATCTCACCGCGTTTCGACACTACCAGGAACCTATCAGCATGTCACGCTTGTTTATCCCGGACAGCCGGAGCCCGCCCGCTCGCGTCCGTCCGTCCGTCCGTCCGCATCGGCGCGTATTTGTTTGTATCTGAAGAGGATACAGCGGATGCTGCCTGGATATTGCGGTAAAGCGGAAACGTCATACAACGTGAGACTTTTTTTCACGGGGAAAAATTTGTCTCTTCGATCTCCCTCTTTCTCTCTCTCTCTCTCTTAATTAATGTAGCAACTCTATCTCTCTTAACTAATATAGCAACTCTATCGCATCTTATTTTCCTTTCAAGATTATTTAGTCCGAGTAGAAAGAGGAAGACTAATTTAAAATTAAAATTTAGATTTAGAAGCACGCATATTTTAATGAAGCATTGCCGATAATTGAACGAAAATAATGGTTCATTGTTATTCGTGTGGGATATCGCAAAGGAAATATTTCATTTATAAGTATATCGTTAAACATATATTGTTTAAAATGGAATAATTGCGTGAATTTCGACAGACATATATATGTCTGTATACATATGTCTAGAATATAAGATCGTCGTTTTGCAGAACTCGATAATATCAAATAATTATATGATTACAATGAAATCGATATACGTATAAGTAAGAATCATAATTCATATTTGTGCGGGCGTAGAATTTAAAAAGAAATATCTTTTTACACCGTTTTAATTTCGCGCTGTGCGCCTCCTATTTATCGTAAACACACGGTTCTTCCAGTTTTCCGGAAGTGTTTTGCATACACCCGCATTTATATTATTTCCTCTTGATTTTCAGTCGTTATCATATCGCCACGCGATAACAAAGTCATTTACAGATAACGGCGCATTGCTTCAAAAATCATATCGCGATTATTTTCGCGGAGAGACACCCCCGTTACACACTACACTCGTTAGACACACACTCGGGAAGCGTGATAGGTCTGGCCAAAATTGTCTAGCGTTCTATTCGCCTGATAATCGTGTCAAACATTCTTTCAAATTCTATCGCGACATTCTTTTCGGGGTCCTCGTCGTCGTCGAGAGAACTACCATTCGTTTCATGCGCACCTGGCTGGTGAGGAGACTGTGGGAGTCCCCAGGGATAGGAAAAACCCTCGAAGAATGCGAGAGACGTTCGGACGTGGTGGGAAAATGGGGAGTCGAAATAGGACGTTAGGGAAAGCAGGAAGAACGCCGGGCGGAAATGAACCGGTCGCGTAATACATTCCTGATACCGGCTAGACTATTCGCGTCGCAAAACGCGCAACAAGTCTCCCGTTTCTCCGATCGACGTGCGCTTCGACAATTACGACGAGAGGGACGACGGTGAACAGCAGCCTCGTTAAAATCGGACGAATTAAAATTAACTGAGAAAATGATATGCCTATTTCGAGATCGCAGGGAATCGTCTTACGGGGTAAAATCGGAATCCAATCGCGGAGGCGATTTGTCATTGCGTATTGGGGAAAAATAAGGCGCTTGCAGCGATCGAAGCTGCAGCGGGCCCATCCGAAGGCAATCGCCTGTCGATGGCTCGTCAATCGAGAATTCAAGCGTACGACCAGCCGCGTACTAGGCGAACAGATTTCGGGGTAGGCGGTTTAGCGCGATCCCCACCAGTTCAAAACCACGTGACGCCTCGTCCTTGCAGGATCAGGCTAGTAGTCTTTTGGGCGGATGGCACGTGTCCTCCTGCCCCGAAAATCTCGCGCTTCTCTCACATCGCCGGTGCGGTATCGCAGGATCTAAAATTAAAAATCTCCCCGATCTCTTCTAATTGCACGTGCATGAGATAATTTCGGTAATTTTCTTCTTCAATGTGTCTCGTGCGAGTGAAATTGTATCGTTAATTTGGGAATAAAGGATCGACGATATATTCGTCATCGTCTTTATTAGAGACGGTCCTGCGGTAATCGGGATAAATGCTCAAATTTTAGATCGAAATTTCAGACGCCAATGTTAACTGTATATATATTAATTATGAACAACGAATATAAATATTAAATATTTAATAATCGCACCTCTCTACTGACTTTTTCCGGATATTTCTATCAGTCAGTATCGGTAATATAAATGTTACTTGGTATTTATTGGATACATACAACCTCACTTAAACTTATCATTATCTCGTGTTCGCAATACG